TGAAAGTATCAATATCTTTTTATATAATTGTTCTTATTTTTTTATCTTAAAACTCAGCATTTTCAAGAAATGTGAAAAAAATTTGATATTTAAATTATGATACTTTCAATGAATATTATCATAAAAAGTATTTCCAAAATTATATTCAACTATATTTTTGATGATAAGATGTTAAAGATATAACATAACTAAGTATGCAATTATATTTTACATGTCATTGATTCTTAAATCTTACAACAAATCATACTTTTTATACATGTTATTTTGTATAGCATTATCATTCAGAAAAAAAAAAACTACATTGGGCTTAACAAGGTTAAACTTGACACCGCTGGTCTTCATGATAATTAGTTTGTTTTTTACTTTACTTTTACTAATTTGTATGTTATGATCAAATTCAAAAATAATCAATTTTCTACACAAAAATTTTACATTTAAAAATTAAGTTCAACAATTTAAAAATTCATGCAAGTACTTTTGACAAACGCTTCTGAGCTCTATGCAAAATATTTCTAACTCTCTATTTTAAAATCTTTTTTTTTTTGATATGGATGATTGTTATGACGCCAAAAATATTTGAGTTCAATGTTGATAGTTGATTGTTGATTCAATGGTGTTGCACTCTCCGATTTTCAAGTTATTGCTCAATCAACACTAGAACGGTCAATCAAATTGTCTAATATCAAGGCTTGTCACTCTATGTCAAACCTAAAATGAAGAAAAAACCATTTCAAATTTATCATACACGTAAACACTTAATATATTAGTCTTTGATTTTTATGATTGATTGAAAAACTTCGATTATTTTATTTTTCAAAGACTTTCCACTATAAGTGAAATCAACTTGCAAAATTGGAACAATTTGAATGCAACTTTGAAATCATATATAAATTGTAAAGTAAACAGATTGTCTCAATTTATAAATCAAATTGTAAACTTTTTGGATCATTTTTTTGAACTTATTATGTATTGAATAAAGATTTATTTTGGCAACTTATTTTAAGTTGCCAAAATGATGTGATTGCCAAACATGTAGTCAACTACAATTATTTATTGTCTAAATCATGTCTATGTAAACGTAAAACCTAGAAAATATTGAAAACACTAACAATCATGTCACAACCAAGATGATATAAGGTGGTTCACCTTGGAACCAAGGCTATGTCCACTGAGAACACGCTGCAGTTTTACTCACAAGACTAAATCCATGTACAGCAGAGCTGAGTATTTAACCCTTGTGTAGATGACCGTCCTAGCTAAAAATAGTTAGGAACTAAGGTTACTTCTTAACATGAGTTAGCCTCAACAATCTTCCCCTTAACTCATGTCAAAGGAAATTCAGTAACCTCTCTAACCTATATTATTACTCTGCGGGAAGTTCTAGACGGAAACCTACCACAAGATACCTCTTTAAAGAGAGTTAACTAGAACTAAGCCTTAGGATAGAGTAACAATATACAGAGATAACTAACAATCTTTCCCTTAACGTGTGTTAAAAAATCTTAGTCACCAGTGCACTCTTAACCTCTCATCTCAAGTTAAGGAATGTTCTTCTTAACTTAGGTAAATGGTAAATGGTAACTAGTGCAGTTTTAACCTCTCAGATTTTTACTTGTCAATATGAAGATCATGTACACTCTTCCCCTATTTCAACGAGCTATGCACATTAAAATGACAAGATTACTCTTCCCCTTTTTCAATGAGCTAGACACATTGAAAAACAAATCTTTTGACAAGAATTCTTCTGACGCTAACCACTCACCGTCACTACGACTTACTGCATTCGCAATTAACTATTATCATTGCACACGACTTACCGCGTCCACACCTTACTGCGACCACGACTCATTGTCGTCTGCGACTTACTGCATCCACGCTTTACCGCGTTCATGCCTTACTGCGCTTGCGAATCACAGTCGTCCGTGACTTACTACGTTCATGCCTTTAGTGATTCGTTCGACCGCCGCCTTGCCCTTGCCACTAGCTCAAGCCCTGCCGCTGGGGGAGAGGATGGTTGCACGCACGCACGTGCCACTTCCGACGCCAATGGGAAAACACACCGCTCAGTCTTGCCACGCGGCGGGTGGGAGACAATCGTGGCTTCGCCACACACCTCCAGCTCTCATGTCCGCAACATGGTTGGGCACGCGTCGTCCTAGCTTGCCGTGCCGCTCGGCCATCGTTCTGAGGGAAAGGAGCTCCGTTTGCCGCTACGGTAACTTGCGAGGTTGCGCGCAACCGTTCCTGGTCTTCTTGATGCTTTGAGACGGTGCCTGACGCTTGACCGTCCATGTCTTCGCACGAGTATCATGCTCTGTAACCCAGAGCATGATATTGTTGAAAAAATTTCACTGGCCCTAGTAGTAGACTTTGGTGGGAGTCACCAGAAGGCGATGTAACCATGCTTTCCTCTTCTCGAGCTTGTTTGCAGATTGAAAGTACCATTTCTTTTAGAAATAGACTCCTGCAACCTCAAAATCTTAGCTTCCGACATAGCACTTGTCTCAGCAACCTTCCTTTCAATATAGCAACAACTTTCTTAAGCTTTGCATTTGACCGGGCCAACATTTGTACTCCATGCTGTAGCCCCAGTCTTGACAACGATCATTTGTTGCTTCATCATGGACGCACTCAAAATACTTTCCAAAACATCAAAAATCTGTCACAGTTGTCCTTCACAAACCGACTATCATCATCCTCGGAGTGATTTATGTCTACTCAGATCCGTTTGACTCGTTTGTGTACCGTGACAATTTCCATGACAGCCAGCAAAGAAGTCAAAGCAAGGAAAATACAACGAAAGAGCAAATCTCGCTCTTGTAATCTCTTCATACCACTTCACTCAAAAGTAATCTATGAAGTTTAGGAGAATCTTTCCATCATCCGCTGCAAGTTGGTCCATGCATGCTCCATATCCATGTAGGACCTATTTGTGGCACTAGTAATGGATGAATCCTCATAGTTACTACTTCCCTTCTTCTTTGCATCCTCTAGTTGACATCATGTTTTGTTGGAATTTGTGGAAGCTTGATTCAAGTTAGGTAAAGCTTGTGACTTTGAAGAAAGAGGTCCCACGGCCAATTCACAGGAGCCTCTATTCTCATAATCGACACCTATCAGATCGTGAGACCGAACCTTCTGAAATTCCGAGGACTGAAGTCATGGCAGCTGATTAAAGATCTGTTTCTCGTGAGGAAAGTTGTGGTGCACTTGAGTATGAAGAGATACACTTTACATAAATTCTATTTAACACCTCTCAAACCAACACTAACCCAAATGCATAGCTTATTAGTAATGTTCATTTCTTGATCATTTCCAGAAGCGCTCGCAAATCAGACAGAATTGTCAAGAGTAGTTGGAACATTATCTTCCAATGGACTAATCTGGGCTCTAGAGAAACAAGGATTAGCAATTAGAAGCGATGCATCAATCTCTACGCATGTTTCATTCTCTTATCTAGAATAATTAATCTTGACGCCTGCCACGACTTGTCCTTAGAGTCATACAAATATACCTCCACAGAATGGTAAGCGACATGATCATGATCACTCTTGGTCATCAGATTCCACATCATTCCTACTATGTAATAATTCAAGCTCAACGGAGGTACTCTATTATGGAATGATTTCCATCTAGTATTTGAGTAGTTTACTACATGCAAGCCATGAAGATGCGAATTCTCTTTGAGCAAGATAAGACCACACACAATGAACACTACCTTGCTGCCACAAGATGGATTCCTATGTTGGTAGATGCTCGAAAGAAAAAACACTGTTAGCTTGAAAAACAAACGCTCAAATCTTTTGAAACTTGTCGTCGTAACATGTTTGTCATGGTTAAAAACAAAACGAATCAGCATTGTCAGAGTTCTGACACATTCAGTCACTCAAACACTTTCATCGTCAAAAACCACTTGTCAGCCACAATGATAGAAAAAATCCGTCATCCTCAAAGTAACTGCTACTTGTCAGAAAATTGTTTCAGAATATCGGCACACATCAGCAAAATGTCACAGAAAAAACCATCACGCGTTAGAAAGCCGTGACTGAGAAAAATTCACAAACTCCAAACCGTAACCTTGCTCTGATAACAATTGTAAACATAAAACCTAGAAAATATTGAAAACACTAACAATCAAGTCACAACCAAGACGATATAAGGTGGTTCACCCTGGAACTAAGGCTACATCCACCGAGAACACGCTGCAATTTTACTCACAAGACTGAACCCATGTACAACAGAAGCCGGGTATTTAACCCTTGTGTAGATGACCGTCCTGGCCAAATATAATTAAGAACTAAGGTTACTTCTTCAGAGAAGTTAACCTCAACAGTCTACTCCTTAAATTGTTATTTTTATTCATTATGCATTGTTATTATTCCAATCAATACATGATTCACTCATTGAACTAGTTAAGGTAATCATTACTATGACATGTTATTATAGAATATGCAGAAAAATAAATTGTATATGAATGATGCTGTATGATGTTATTATATCATAGAATATAGTTGTATTCAATTGTGAACACTACTGTAGCGTACACTACATCAATGTTGGAATGCCAAAATTTTCCTGATGAATGATGTAATCATCAGAAATTTTGGCACCAAGAAAGTATTAAAATATACATAGTTGCACACAACCATAAGTAGCGAGCCGGATAAACATCGCCATTGGAATTGAAGAAATCAACTTTCCGAAAGAACTGAATCGGTAGTCTAATTAACGGTTCTAACATAGTGAGAGGGTTGATGGTTTTTGGAGGCAACCTTAGCGCTCACTCTTGCGTGCTAAAAAAGAGATGTAAACTTCGTTGTGTGCCAAGAAAGAAAGCAAGTGTGTATATACTTATACTTACGTGTCAATTAGACCTGGTAGATAGAGACATTCACTCACTGTAATCCTAGATGCACAAAGGAATCCTTGGTTCTCGATCGAAGACCGTCACCGTACGATTGGACTGTCTGATGCCATGTCGCACGAGGGGACGCTTAATCAGCGTGGATAGCACAGACGATCAGAGCGAGAGAGCGAAGGATTGTTGGGAAGAACGAGTGCTTTGGCAGAAGGCACAAATCAATAATAACAGCAGCAGCAGGAGAAAGTGGTGGACACAGTGGACGGGGCAGCGGACGAAGGAAGGCCATGAGTGGAGGATGATTAGGTGGTCCAGAGCTGCCCAGCGCGATAGTGTCGTCCATGTGGAGCACTGCACATGCCGTCGACGAGGAATCTGGCGGGGTATCGCCATCCCAGCGTTCCCGATTCCAAAGCGGCGTCTAATCTCTAGCCTCGCTGCCCGCTGGCTGGCTGACTGTCTGTCTGTCAGTCGGACCGTCTACAGCCGGTGTGGACGTCGGTTGGCCGCTGCGCTGCTGAGAGAGTCTCGGGGCTTTCAAATGTACCTATCGAATATCCTCTAAACTGTCGGGCATTCTTTCCGAGTCCATGCAGCTCGTCTGTCCAATTGCCATTCCTGATTGTTGTGCTGCTCTTCTGATGGATCCGGATGGATTCCCTCTGTGAATATTTGAGCTCCCCAACTTCAGCTTCGGCTGCTTCAATGAATTGACTGGAAATGCGATTTGCAGATTCGGATGATCAATGTATCCGATCTTTCTTCCTTTACTATCTCCTTGACGGTGGTTTCAAGGATAATCTAGCAACTCTGGCTGGAATTGTATTCAAGGATAATCAATACAATTCCACAACTTCCTTGCTTGCGATTGTCCGAGCTCAGTGTCTAGTACTTGGGTTTGTGAGCATTCATTTCCGGTGAGATTCTCGTAACGGAAGTATGTGTGATTTAGTTGTGGGCTCTTTGAAAACAGAAGCAATTCACGTAAGAATTAGCACCCATGAGGTAATTCATCAGCATTCAGCCACATGTTGTATAATGCCTAGCATTAACATTGGTTTTTTAGTAACTTGTAGAAGGCCAAATTAAAAAGAATCTTATATTGTTTGTTTTTGTTTCGGCATTTGCAAGGTGTTTCTTCCTGAGATTTGAATGTTACATATCTCTCACAGAACTAGCAGACTCCTATACAAGTAGATGGGCTGTTATTCATGTACAGAACTTCTAGAAATCTATACTCAAAAGTTGTGTCCGAAGGCGACGATCCTAAACCTCCTCTTTTATTTGCGCGTATGTGCATCGTGCCGTCAATATTGAAAGCCTAAATTCACGTCTTTTTCTGCTGAAGATATCGAAGGACAGTGGAAGGATTTGGGGTGGCTATGCTTCAGCCTTCGATTCACAGCTTTGAATGGAGAATGCAAAAACCAAGCTCACCACGAATGAATGTCAGACTTCCTCACCAAGAATTGGGTTTTCTCGACGACATTTAATTCTCGGATATACCCACAGATGTCACGGATTCAACACAGTTAGATTTTAGTCCATCCGTTCAGCCCTATTTCTCTCCAAATTCCCTCGTGGTTCTTCTTTAGTTGGAGACGATGCTGATTATTGTGCCGCCGGTCGTCACTCTATTGTTGTACAAGTCCCGTAAATACCCCTTATCCTTAAAAGTACTTGCTTCGGATAAGAATTCCCAGGTAATTGAATTTGCCTTCCTCGTATGTCTTGTGAGGTTTAGTTAACATTATAATGCTGAGCATATATTGCATTCCTCTAAATGAATGAAGGGCAGTAGATTCTTGATGATACAAACTGTGGGTGTAATCAGGTGTTGGGTCAATGTTGTTATATTACAAGCACATCAGGCCAAAACATGGTACGGCAGTCTTGATTACTGCTGTAGTGCTGCTAGTCTTTAAGGTTAGATTTTCTTAATCTATTTCTATTTCGCGTGCAGAATTCGAACCCTCGTCCACCTCGCAGGATAACGTCCAACGTGAAGCAAAATCTACAATATTTGAAGATTGTAAAGGTACCCCTGAGTTCAGCTCTTGGAGCTAAATTTGTGTGAACAAGTCCAGTCTGCCAGATGAATGCGCTGTTTATTCCCTCTTTTTTGCCATATTACTTGGGTTTGATTTATCCAGATATTCCTTGATTCGAGGGTCTTACGTCTTGCAGGAGTACCAGAAAAAAGCTAGTTCGAGTGCACCCAAGCCGGCAACAAGCTATCGGAAGAAAAAGGTCGAGAAGAGTGATCTTGCTGACGAGATTGAAAGCTACGAAGATCCCACTACAAAGCTGTACTAGTAAGAATCGGTGAAATCTCCTCGATAGGGACTTCCTCTTGATCCACGATCCTAGCAGTACCAGCGTCTTGAATATAGGTTTTGGAAGATGTTTAGTGAGTAGCATGATTTAATCTCATGGAACTGGCACCAGTCCGTTTAAAGCCTATATAGCCAAGTGAATTGATTGGGATTTTTTTGCACTGCCGAATTGTAGTACACAAGTTTGCAGTACAATTGTCATCTCTCAATCGAACTAACCCATAAAACGGAAGTTCTCATGTCGATATGTGCATTTATTATCTAGCAGTTACACGAAACGAGATGTCTGCCTTAGCCGTATGTCCTTTCCCTCATTGCGTGACTTTCGTACTTTCTTCTATGTCGAGCTGTGTAGCTGAGTTGTTTGACATTTGATGGACTTCTTGCAGTACCAACTCAGGCTTAGAAATGGCTACACCAGTCCTGCTGGTCGATGGTTACAACGTGTGCGGCTACTGGCCTAAGCTGAAAAAGCACTTTTCAAAAGGTGATCTGGAGACAGCTCGGCAGAAATTGCTGGATGAGCTGGTCGGCTTCAGTGCCATCAAAGGTGATCTTTGATTGAAGTTTGATGTTGAGTCATGTTGGACGTAGAATTCCCAGCTATTCGGTGGTAAGGGTTTCATTTCAGCATTCCACTTTCGTTTAAGTCCCCGATCTCTTCTGCCTTCCTTATTCTGATGATGGTGGTCTGGTTGGCATCTTTCAGGTGTGAAAGTGGTGGTTGTATTTGATGCAACCTTATCTGGCTTAACTTCTCGAAAAGAAACTCTGCAAAAGTAATATTCCATAAAAAATGAGAGTGTTTGATTATGTTCATTAATAGTCCTATTCCTTTTTCCATTGCTAGCTTATGTTTTCATGCCAAGCATCTAGAAAGAGCTTACAGACTCAGTGTGCGAAGGCAAGAGAACCTTTCGATGGTCTGAATTTCTCTGCGTGTTTTCCTTTTGTTTTGAATTCTTAGGTCATGGTTTTTTATAAATTCTGATTTCACACATTTGAGTTTATTAACCCTGAAGGTGGCTATGAATGCAGTGTTGATGTGGTGTACACAGTTGACGCATGTGCCGACTCTTGGATTGAGAGGGAGGTAAGGTCTGATCTGAAAGTGTAGTGGAGGCATCATATCTTTGTTGCAAATACATTGGTGCTGCTCATATATCTCGAGCAATGGATTCTGCATGTCATCACCTACCTCACATGCTTGTCAATTTGGAACTATCAGTTTTGATTTGTATATTTTTTCTGGAGAAAGACTTAAATTTATTCCTTTGCAGGTGACAATGTTGATAGCAGATGGCTGCCCTAAGGTGTGGGTTGTATCGTCTGACACATTCCATCAGCATGCAGCGTATGGAGCGGTAGGATTTCGTTTGTCCCTGAACTTAACATCAATTATAGGACAAACTTAGTCAGATGGTTGCCTTGGAGAAATGAGTAACATGTAAGACAATACTGCAATGGTTTCTCATAAACCTAAGACGGGTGCTAAGAAGAAGGTTGATGATTTTCGTTGATACTCTCTTGTAGGGTGCATACATTTGGAATTGCAAGGTTCTCATAACAGAGGTAACAAAGTCGAAACTCTTCAATCCGTTGGATGTGAACTTTCTTAAGACATGCCTCTTTGAAATCCTTGGACCGTTCTATATTGGGATCTTCATTATCTTGCTAGAAGATTGTTCTCATCCGCTGGCAAGCTGTTGTATATTCAATATCCCTTGGAAACACAAGCTCTTATATATATATATATATATATATATTCCTAAATTCCTGTTTTTGAGTATTTTGACAAATTGCCTGACTCCCAAACTGACCTTGAAGATCAAAGATGCCAAGAAGGAACTCCAAGAGCTGATGCATGACGATAGGTGAGCTGAAAGAAACATTCCTCTGTACGTTGCTGTTTTGATTCATGTGCAGTAAATTACTGAGGATCACTAGATGTACAGATAAAGCCAGCGCGGAGGCCCCTCATCTCTTCTTTGTCACTCGGTAGTAATAGTAGTTCTCAAATTAGTTCTATTGTTTAGCAATGTCGAAGTACGCACTATTTTGAATCAACTATCATACTTCTGCTCAAATGCCATGATGGTGCGGAGTTTGATAGTGACTTAATGACCAACTGTTGATTCAATCACAAACTAACGATTTCTGTTACGATAATCGGTTCGGTCTTCTTTCTGGGTCTGTACATGCAAGACACTATTCTGAGATGATGTTGTATTCTGTCCACATTCCAGGGAACCTCGAGATTAGTTTGGGGTCTCCGTGAAAAGTGTTTTGAGTTAATTATCTCACAAGCTGATATGTTGGTCGGTGCAGCATGTATTCCGTCAAGGGTAAACTTCTGGAGCATAATTTAGACCCAGAAGTCTTCAGTGCTTTGCAAAATTTGAAGCAACAACTCAAAAACCCTGAAGGAAGTTGAATGAACTTGCGCATATATGTCTTTACTGGGCAGTAGGATGCTATGGTACGATTTTCTCAAATCTGCTACGCCCCCTTTTGAGTATTGAGTCTAGCTCCTCATCTTACTGCCGTTTCGAACAAGCAGTAAGTTGGTTCTGGCTGCGAATGTGCTGTGATGGAGATAATAGATTTTTAAATTTCCTTCTTGTTTGTTCTTTGTAGAGGGTTCCAACTGGAGGATTCTTGGAGTGTCTTCATCTTGTAGTTTGAAGATACGCACCCGGGCTGCACGACATAAATTTTGTGGTGGGAAAAGAAAGTGTAAGTAATCTGACCCTCTCCATGAACGTAACGAAGATTCTCGACGCAGTAATGCCAATATCTACTGTCAAGGGTCTCTTACTTTTGTAAATGCCTAGTGTTAGTTAGCAACTAATAATACCGCCTATTCTTTCTTTTTAAGTCGACCCGGACTCCTATCCTTTAGAAGCTTCACAATCCAAGTCTGCGAATCACATCCCGCCCCCTTCCTACGATAATTTCTTCTGTCTTCTTCGTTCAGGTCCCGATGACTAGCGCAGACGGTTTCGCGACGGTTTTGCTCAGCAGTGGAATGGGCATCTCTTTCTGGAGAAGACCAAGTCCAGATTCGTCTTACAGGACGATGTGCTGCTCAACTGGCACGGAGACATCAAAGAAGTTCACAAATGTACAACGGCAACTGTGTATTGGCCTGGGTCATTGTCAAGATCATTCAGGAGTTCGATATGAGGGTCCATGTGTGGGTATTTTTTCTAAAACTGCAAAAGCAGTCTGGCAATAAACGGAATTTAAAGTATATGTGCATCGTCATATGGAGTAGCTATCCCAGAATTGATCATTCTCTTCTCTATTCAAGATAGTTTCAAGGGGAACCTTAAAGAGAACTTTGAACACTCAACTTGTATGCATATCTCCATACACTTGCGAGAATTTGACGAATTTTGAGGGCTGGAGGGATTCACTGTTTATCTTAGCAGAACACACATGGGCCAGGATGTAGGAGACATGTGGATTCACTTTCAGCACGTGAAGTCCTTTCATTACAGCCATGGTAAAGTGTATAGCCTACAAGTTTTCCAAATTGTATCGGCCTGCATAACTTTCAAGTATGCACTGGTGTATACGAATTTGAGTACTCTCGCAACCCTCTCCACAAACGTTCATGAAACTTCGTTTGTTCCAGAGTGGATTACCCTGCATTTAAGTGCAGTAACCTGTGGATACAATGATAATGTTTTCCTTTCTCGGTATATCCCAGGGTGCTTCGAACTTGTCTCTACAACTCAAACCTGCGTAAGGCGTATGACCCCATCCCCGCTCGGTAGGATTGGCTATCCAAGTACTGTACAAAGCAAACCTCGAGTGTCGAAAGCCCCACAGACCTTGATCACTCAAGTGCGTCGTTGTTTTCAAAATCCTCTTGACGCATGCGTTCAGATTACTGTGAGCATTCTTCAAGAGCAGGAAATGGGTAGGAAAACTGAATGACTTTACACTTTGTATCGCTCTACGCGGACGAGATAGTAACTCCCGCTTGCGAGCTTTGCATTGTGATGAATTGAAACCATTGAGAAGTAGGTACCTGAGCTGAATTCACACACTGGGAGCTTTCTAGACAAAGACAAGTCTCGGCAGTAATATCTGTTCCTGATGTCCCATCCAAGCACAAGAATTTATCTCCAACCTGACTTTGCAGCTGGAGTTGGGCACCGCCAACAACGTTCCACTGACACCCCTTGCAGCCAGCGTCATGCGTAACCACCGCAGGGAATCCTTCACCTGGAGCTGATATGACTGAACGTTCTGAAAATATGATCATCAATGTTGTGGTATCATACGACCATACACTTGAGCCCCTTCCACACGAAGAAAGCACCAAGCTGGTATTAGCACGGGCAGATACGCACAAGCCAGTTGCCGGGTGGAAAATCGCAGAATATGTTGTGAAACCGAAAGTCACTGGGCCTGCAACAAACAATGGGATCGTATCGAGCACGACCCTCCGCTTTTGTTAGAAAAAGAGGGTGTCGATTTTATCAGCATGAACATGCACAGACAGCATGGTCAACAGCAGCTTGCAGAATCACGAATTGAGTTTGCGTCATTCAACTCTCACTTAAGACGGTGTGAAAAGACGAAAGAGGATCACTACAATGCAAACTACCACTACGTTTTAAATGGTCCTCTATAGGGAATCTTCAACCGGATCCATACTGGGCAAAGGGTACTTGAGAGCTCCTAGTCGTTGAACGAATCCAGGATTCCGTACTGCATCCCAAGTATGTGTCAATAATCCGAAAGTCTCATCCAAGTCCCGAACACCATTCCGTTCATAGTAGGAACCCTGAAGAGCCCACAGAGCGTGATCTAGATCCAACTTTGCAGCAAACGTCATGAAACAATCAAAGAAGCGATTTCCTGTAGGGTCGCGCCCACCCTGATCAAGGCCGAATTCTGAGACCAGGACAGGTGAGGTATATGGCTGATCGGGAGTAAGTAAAAAGCCAACTGCATCCATAACTCTCTTCATGTCGCTGGAGCAAATCTGATTGAGATTCCCAGAGCCATAAGGCAAGCCCGAGTACCAAGAGTACCAATGCAGCTCGTAAACCAGCTTTTGGCGGATAGAAGGGGTGCTGAATGTCAGTGGCTCACGAAACAAGAATGAAAGGTCTGCCGAAAAACTCAACCCTCCAGCGCATACAAGAAGATGATCATTCACCTTGTGAACAGTCTCAGCACCGCTCTGCAGAGACGTAGAAAATACATAGAAATTTTTAGCTATGAGGAAATACGCTAGTCAATTGACTGACAAACAAATTATCGTGCTGAGGGTGCAACCGGACCAAGCTCTGAGCGAAGATGTAAGGAAAGTACAGAAGCAGTGTCCTTCAAGCTGTCAATACTGACCTCTATATTTTTCCGCCAGTCAGCAGAATTTGAACGAGGGCCGCGAGGTTCATTGCGAAGACCAATGCCGATGACATTGTTATGATCCAGTGATAAGTTGGCAGCAGCCTCTAAACCCATCAACCACTCGGCAGGATCAAAGAACTGGTCTCCCCAAAATCCATTCCCATCGGAGTATCCACAGCACCAACTAGGCTTGCTGACATGGTTGTCCAGAATAATCATCAATCCCTTCTTACCGAGTTCTGAGACGACTTCAGTGTATGCTTCTGTAAGACTCAGCTGAGTGAAGTTCGGATTGTAGTTTGTAACTCCATCAAGTGCTGCCTGCAGTCCAAAAGAGCTCAGCGATTGCCCCACAGTTTGTCCTCCAAATTCTGCTCTCGTAAACATATATGTAGCCCAAGTCAATCGTACGCAGTTGAAACCAGATGACACTATCAAGTCCGTGATGTTAGAAATAGGCTGCTTATCCAGACCTTCTGGCAGCATTGGTTCCAAGTGACCAGCCCAATTCACACAAGCAAGCTTCACCCTTGCCCCTGATTGATCCACGATCCATCTAGAAGAGACCGACAAAGTCTCTGAGCTTACAGTCGGAAGGTCTAAAGTGAAAGGGAAAATAATAATGGCGCAAAATGTTGGGAACAGTAACTGCTTCAATTCAAACATCTTGAGAACGCGCGGACAGCCGAGAGATAATGTCTTCGAGAAGAGAAATACAGAATAAGAATTCCCTGATTTGTTATCAACTTTGCGCGTTAGTTCCAATATCGGCTTCTGCACTTGGAGTGGCACAAATTGGGGTTAGAACCCTGGCCGGCCCGGTAGCTGCGAGCTGATACGTCGTTCACCGCATCCTTCATGAATAGCATTGTCGGCCAAGATTGACTAACACATTTCAGCCCTCGGTGTATGATCAGTTTTTCAAGTGTGTTTCACTGCTTCTGTCGGCTACGAGAACTAAGCTTCAGAGGGGCCTCTTTTAACGTTACTCTTGAACTCAGACCAAAGATCGAACTCCTTGGGCATATCCTCGTGACCCCGTCCTCATCATACGTCCTGAGAGTCAACAAGCGATGCGGAATCAATCAAGCCGAAATTGTCGCCAAACTTGAAGTATTTCTTAGTTCTGTTCTTTATTCTTGTGGCAGCTTTACGGCCCGCAGTATATTTTACTTCTTTCAGGCACTTCATCCCCAATGAAGTGCCCTGCGGTGGAAGCAACGGTCCCCAAGCTCATCACTTAGAGAAGCCCTCCTCCGATTATGGCCTAACATTCGTACACGGGCTGTGTCGATGCAGGGAATTGTGCTACGAAGCGAATTGGAATCGCATCATTTACCAAAGTGACACGTCACGCAACTCCGGATTCCGAAGTTTTGCACAAAATTAATCTTCTTCTACGTGCAGCATTCATCCGAAAGGCCGAGGCAAACAACTATGCTTCAAATGTTCTGATAGAACTGATGTCCCGATGAAGGACAGAATTACATGTTCTCGACATCGGATATATTGCGATAAGGTGGTCGTTCAGATGGGGAGCGAGATCTGCTAAAGTCTCCCCGCTTCCCACCGATACGTACACAGGGTCGTGAGGGCCATCACGGCATCTTGATAGAATATCGTTTCTCCAGAATTTCAAAGGTTCGAACAATTTTGCGAATTCCTTCACGCGAGTCTTGCAAAGTCCGTCTGCAGCAACAAAGCTTCGAATTTACTCCACTCCATGAGCGGAGGTCCGGACCTCGCTGCTCGGCAGCGCAGACAGCACGTTTCCCTCGCGATTCTTCCCGAAGGGCTCACTGCTCTCCGCAGCAGACGGCTCACGAGGCGGAGACGAGGAATCAAAGAAGCAACGGAGCGCAACTCTTGCATGAACCATTCTTTTATGAAACTTGAGTTTTCAGGCGGCGCCAGCCAGCGTTCGAATTTTGAACCGCTGGACGTGCACGACAGATCCGGCAGACGACGGCCGGATCTTCGGGGATTCTATTCGAACATACCGTCGCAAGAGCGGGCCGCTAGATGCACAAACTGAGGACGGATTTCCCTTTCACGTTGTTCGGAGCGTTGTTGACCCCGATCAACGAATTCCCGACGGGGACGAACACACATCCGTCCGCTATCGACACACCTCCGTAGATCGACCCCGGCGTTGCGTAGGTCCACAGCACTTTCCCGGTCTTCGCATCCAGAGCCACCACGTTACCAGGTTCCACCGATCCTCCGAACACCACCCCGTTCGCGTAAGTCAACTGCGTACAAGCAAGCCACTTCAGCCTCTCTCGCAGTCGCAGCCGGTCATCCTGGGATGCCTGGCCGGCTCTCCAAAACGCGAATGTGCAATATTCGCGATAAGTCAGCGTCAAAAGCTATTTTTGGGGGGGAGAGAGAGAGAGACCGGAGCGTTGGTTGTGCTGGCGAACGGATCGGCCGTGGACCAGAGGATGTCTCCGTTGGTGGCATTGATGGCCACCCATCCGCCGGACTGGACCACCGTTGAGGAAGGCAGGAGAGTGAAATTGGCCTTGAGGTTGTTGATCATGTTCGTGAACACTCTCTGCCCGTCCGTCGTCAATCCCCACGAGCTGCCCCCGATGTACCCGCCGGGCCCTGCAGCCTGCACTGGAATTGAGTCACCGCTCTTAAGTGCAAGGACGACTTCACTCAAAAGCGGTACAGTACTGGGCAATTCCAGTTGCGACTGGTGTGATGCTGGTCGCGCTAACTGCGAGCCACAGCTTCGCAGGCCTCCGAGTGCTAGGAGTCGACGGATTTTGGATGTCGCCGAGGGATCGGCAAATTTTTTTCTAGTGTCCACGATGTTGGGATGGGCTAAAGCCTTTCAAAATCTGAATGAATGCGCTGGACGGTTTCAGCCTCAATCGACATGGACAGCATCGAAACAAGCGGGCGGGGGAAGTGAGAGGAGCTTACAGTGACCCAGACGACTTCGCCGTTGTCTTGGTCGAGAGCCCAGATGAACCCGCTCTTCTGTCCGGCCACTGCAATTTCTTTCCACGGCTTCTCAGCGGGTTCGCGAGCAGATTTCGTTGCAATTTTCATAAGCATTGGGCACATTCCGAAGTCGTAGTCAGGGCCATTGACCGCTTGGCAATTGTCGGGAGGGTTAACCGCTGCGCAGACGTAGCTGAATGTATCGTACCCACCGAGTTGCCGACTCCAGGTGACATTGCCACTGGCCATGTCTATTGCAAGGATCGACTCTTGGTGGTCATCAGGTGGCAGACACACGTCAGGGAATGGTGGGCTGCTGGAATTTCTCTCGTTCTCCAGGCAAGCGTCGATGTCGGGAGGCGTGGAGTAAGCATTTCCTGTGGCGATGAACACTCGTCTTCTGTGCACATCGATTGAAGGACTGCTTCCCCATATTGCCACTCCAGCATAACGACCTGTTTGACCTGCATTATCGGGAAGCATAGGCACTTTGTATATAATGTCCCCAGTTTTCACATCGAGCTTGTAAAATGCCCCCTGGAAAATGCAGCAGTCAATTCCGTCGATTCCTTCTTCTAGTGACGAAGTGCCTATATAGTATGCCCTGCACAGATCATCATCAGACCTTCGGTGAGCAATCTATTCTTGCTCGTAGAGACATATATGTACCCAGCATTGAATACCATACGCCCCCATTACCAGGGATTGTTACCATGAAAACATGTGCAGTTTTTAGAAACTAATTCCGACCACTAACTGCGTGGATCGTCCATGACTCCATATTCTATCTCAAGAGTCAAGTGCTGACTCTTCAAGGATCGTCCTTGCCAAGGCCCAACTTCAAGTCCTCACAAGGATCCTGTATGGGGAAGACTCACGAGAAACTAAACGTGTGAACGTTGATGTCGGTCTCAGTGTCTATGTCAGAGAGATCTTCAGAATCTGCCTAGGATTAGAGATGCAGGAAGGAGGAAGGGGAAAGTGAAATAACGCAGAAAAGGAACCTCTAGTGGAACAAGTCCATTGTAGTCAATGACCGAGTCCAGAAGCCGAATGTGGAGCTTCGACGAAATATTCTCAGAACATGCACAAATGAACAATTCATGCAAACGCTCAGCCTCAGAGCCAGCTGAGGTTCCTGCTTGGCTCAGCAGCTGCAGCAACCGAGCAATGATTTGCATACATACCCTTCGAAGGCCGTTCCGGACATAGAGATCAAGGCATACGGATGAGAGTCTAGCTCCTTCGTCCACAGGAGAGCTCCGCTCGCTTTGCAAAGTGCTACAACGGCACATGGACCGTAAACTCCGAAAACCAACATGTCACCAACAATTGTGGGAGTCGATCGAGAGACCATAGTTTTCGGGTAGAACTTTGTTATGTTGGTTGGAACGAAGGTAATGAATCCCGAAGTAAGATCCAGCAGATTTTTCTTCCAAATTAGGTTACCGGTTTCTTGTTCTACTGCGTACATGAAGCCGTTCCAGTCGGGAAAATACACAACTCCATCTGAAATGGCTGGAGTGGCCGTCACATCAGATTCAGTTGCAAATTCCCAATTTAGAGACAGCTTCGATACCGATTTGGCGCTGATGTGATTTTCCAGCATGGCTACTCTCTGGTTCTTTAGCCCCAGTCCACCTCCGTGATTCAACCATGACTTGAAAGGTTTCTGCGCATAACTCAAACTCATCAGCCTAGGAACAAGAATATGGCCTTCTTTCTCTGTTCAGCTGACTTGATTGTTGAGAACATCTCTACTTCCACATTATTTCCATTCATCAGCCTCATACAACCGAAAACCAGGACCCGTACTAGCAATTATGCGTGGCGAGACGAGAATATGTTCTGTGTCTGGTTGAGAATTCAAGAATATCTGAACAAATTTCTGGAGTAATGTGCATGCCCATGTCCAGAACTTCCATGTACACATCAGAGTGTGTTCTAATCTGTCGGTAAGTACTTGACGGAAGTGATTCACGGACCTTCAACTAGGTATCATGATTGTTCCTGAATATGAGTGAAAGGAAGATGAGCGTGAAAGTGAATTGTCAGCAGAACGCAGATGTCATAAAAGTCAGGACTAGTACTTCTGTCTGGTCTCAGACCTCGATCTACAGAATCCTCTCATTCGAGCTATACAGCAGGAAAATTAGAATATGGTCATAAGGTCTCCATTGGTTGCAAAGCAAACTTAAAGTTGGTGAACGTACAAGATCGGGATGTGCTTGAGAGGATGATCCGAACGCAAGGCAAAAACCCAGCAGTATCAAGAAAGTCACTCTCGAGCTCGCCACAATCTTCATCGATCCTCTCTCTTGATAGACTTAGCAGATTTCCAAGTTGACAATGTGTCGAAGAAGAGTCCAGGTAATTCCTGCTCCCATGCACAGTCAACTGATCAACGCTGTCCGATAAATTCCCTCTATCTCTCTCTCAAAAGATTGATCGCTTACACAGCTAGAGACGGGAGAGCAGGAGACGAGGCACATGAACATCAAGAAGTAAAGTTTGACTTGTGAAGGCAGACAGGTGGCGGAGTCCTCGGGGACCCGTTGTCCAAGACCACTATCGTCATCATCATCTGTTCTGCCATCTCCTGAAAGAGAGCGGCAACTCATTGGGTCCGGTAATGTGCTGCGAAAAAGTACAAAACTGGGTGTCATCCTGCGACTTTCACAGCGCCGTGACTGCACACGTCGGGGCGTAGTTATCATTGTGGGAAACAGCTACTCGCCCTGATTTGGGGCGGGGTGCTCCTGAGTCCGGGAATGTCTTCGCGCGTGCAGAGTCTAGATTCAAAGCTAGAGTGGGACAGATGTCTTTTTTGGCAACTGTGTTGTCATTCGACAGTAGTCTGCTGACTTTGCTACGATGACCGTCTCAAAACCAATTCATGGTACACGTTCAGCTTCCAGCTCGTGGATAAGTCCAGCGGTGGGATGAGTCCGCTGTGACCATGCAAGACTCAGATGGGATGAGGTTTTTCTTCTGGGAAATTCTGACTCGTCGAGCGGAAGAACTGAATGGACTCGAAGGTCGTTCGGCCCTGAACGGATAGGCCACCCCATGACTCCAATGCCCTTCATTTTGTACATCTGGAACGCTCGTTCTGAGAGTTATCGACTTCGGCCGAGGCGCGTCGGAAGCGCTCTGGAGAAGCGCGTGATCGATCGAGCGTCGGGAGCGCGGCATATTCGCCTCGCGGTTAATCCGAGTTCTTAGTTGGGAACTACAGTACGTCAACGAAGAAGACTCGTCGCTCGATGCTTCTGCATCCGTAGAAGACGGCCCCATGGACTTTTTTCAATACGACTATCGTTTCTGTTTCGGCAGTAGCTTTTTAGTTTTCTTTATCCTTCCTCCATGCAGCAAATAGCTCGAGCATTGTTTGCACTTTACGCACTTTGTCGAATAACGTCTTCTTTCTATTGCTTTATGTCCAGGCGATCTCAAGATGTATTCTCAAAACTGCAAAGAAAAGGGCTCACCGAATAATATAGCGAGAAAATATAGTTATACCAGGTAGCTCCAATAGCTGGATAATCAACATGTTACAGGGTATCTAATTGATACATATAGAGCGATGTGTGCATATTACATTTCAGGTAAACTGGACAATCTGCTAAGGAGAGTAGTATGTACTAATTCGGTAAAGAATTGAAGCCAGAAATGAAAATTGTTTGCGACGAAGCAAAACACATGCGCCTCAGCAGGTTTTCAGTAACGAAAAAGGGAATAACCCTTCCGAGCAATAATCCAAATACAAGTCATCAGAATATTGTGGGGAAGTCACTACACATTCCTAGACAGGTCGACTTCGCATGATGAGATGAGAAATCATCAGATTAAGAAGAGATCAGACAGAAGCCTCCGACACATCAACTGCAAGAGGACCAACACTGCAGTAGTTATCACACAACTGTGGAAGGCGCAGACGAAAGCAGGACTTGTGCACGGGAAGAAGGAATCTCCTGGCGTCTCTCTGCCAAGAAAATAGAGCAATAAGTACCCAACAGGCGCAGATTTCGCTCTCCCCGCTTATTGTTCCGCCATACCACCCTAGAATTCTCGGCACTAACCTACAATGTCAGGGTTTGATAAGACGAGAAACGAAAGCCCTCCTACGGACATCGTAAATGCACGAGAACCACTCATCATAACGTTGCAGAAACACAAGGTTCTCCAGGACCCAACACAAGGACCTTCTAAGCAGATATGGCAGGGAGCAGAGTCCATCCAGGGCATTGGACAGGAAGAATGGCGGCCGGTCCGCCGGAATAATGTAGTACGAGCGGGCACGGAGAGATCCTCACGAGGACGCGGATTCCTCGATTGCCTACATGTAGACCTCCCTCATAATGGCGATGGGGCTTATGGAACGCCTCGCTTGATTAGAAACTGCCCAGACACATTGGAGGGACCACGGCGTTGTGGAGTTAGAATTTAATCTTTGAATTTCTTATTGTCGCAGTGACTTGCTTCGGTACGACACTGTCTCCGTGCAGGAAAAAACACTTCTTGATAATCTTGTGACCTGTAACAAGAGAACTCGCCGCTCTCGAACGAGGCTTTGTAATGTGTAGGTCTCAATCTTTTTTATTCGAGTCGATTGTAGCCGATGTGAATGCATAGCTTTCTCTTGGCCTGGTGTTGTAGGTTAATGAAAATAACGTAATAAGTAATATAGACATCATAACAATCACGAATCACAGACGTTTTACCCTTGTTCCCCTGGAAGAGTCGAACCCGAATAGCGATCCTTATCTGGGTAGACCCCTTTTGTGTATCATGGCGGTTGTCATCTACTTTAAACAAGTACATGGTTTGTTCCGCTTAAAAAATATTTTTTTCTCGTATCTGATCGCTACAAACATAGGAAACATATTGAGACCATTAAATCCGTGCTATTTCTCCCAAGACATAGTCTCAAAATCTACGTTAAAAAACATGAATAACATAACTTGAAGTGATCATAATGCATACCTGTACAGTATGCAGTTTATTAGGAACTTGTCTATTCTATTTTAATATCTTAAATGGCTAGATGTGTCTTTATTATCTAGTAGCATGCGTATGCACTGAGTATTGCCAGCTTTTGTGTTTAATAACGTAGGGCAACGATTTTGATACCGGAGAACTTTATGAACTTGCAAAAAAAAAAAGACTTTTGGGGCTACCCAGAGTGTATTATCTTTTAGACTGGAATGCATCGGTGTAGTGCATAGTAATGGTGGAACGATAGCCTGTGGAAAATAAGTCAGAGGGCTAGTCACGTAGAATCTATCGTAGTAGAATCGGTGTAGTAGAATCTAGTATGATGTAAAATACTGCAAACTTCCCCACCCTTCTACTACGATACGGTCAGCAGCGTCCTCAAAGTCCAAGAAACACATCCCGAGCCTGAATGTCAAGATTCGTCTCTAATGAAACAAAATATCAGCAAGTTGGAGAGGCCTTCGGCAGTATGGAAACCACATTTCTGGTAGTATTTGCAACTTTGTGGGAGGCCGTATTATGGCCTCATGTTCGGTCCATCAGATCTAGCAACGCAAACGTGAGATGTTCAACGCTCCTGGACTGGCACTGACGTGGCAAGATGCTACCGAGATGGGCTCGCCGATGCAGATCTGACGACGGGAAGCATCATCGTCCACGTGGATGATACACAGTCTATGCAGACGAGAGTAGACCAACGGGTGAATGCGGGGTCCTCGCTTCGTACACTCACGGAATTGGTGAAGAAACTTCTGGCTTGACCGAACGCCGCTGGCGGAAATTCTTGGAAAAGGGGTCGTTTTTTAAGTAAAACCCGGTCGCCACATTCGTCTTCCACATGTAGTCTCTCTATTAATCTTATAATATGTGAGCTCGAAACGAGTGAAGGCAAGGCACTGACTATGTCAATAAGTAGAATGATAAGAATATGCTATGCAGATGTACTAGGAGACATTGGTTGCATCATAACACTGTGATTATTGTGTCCAATTTCCATGGTCTATGTGGCTTAGATAATTCCGTATTCTGTAGTAATAAATTCGTAGTCTCTACTTAAAGTTAAAATAATTCCCACCTTACTTAATTGCAAGCAGAGCAATTGTCATGAAAGTCACATGTGGACACAATTGGAAAGGAGAGACCAACAGGAAAAGTCACATGTTTACCCAGTGACATTTCCAAACCCTTGTGACATAATAAATATCTTATAGTTTATAACATACCATTTTTTTTGCAAATAGACAACAAGTTTTATGAGACGTGTTCTATCTAAGTTAATAACACAATCAAACGTGACCGAATAATATGTAAATCGAAAGACCAAACCAAATGAGGAACTAGTATTTGTTGAGATTGAAGCTCATGGAAATAAAAAACTTTGATGAATTTTAGAGACAAGATGCACGTGCATGCATCTTGGGAGATGAATTGGAGGGCTAAGAGTAGATGAATTCTTGGAGTTTGAACTAAAAGTTAGACTAAAAATGGAAGCTCAACAAAAAAATAATCGAAGGCATGCCAAACGATGTGATCTGTTTGGCTCACAATGTGCTAGGTTGTGCATTTGACTCATTACCATCTTCTATTGAGTCAAATGTACAACATATCGCAGTTGAAGTTAGAGAGAGAATGTAAAACAAAGTTAGTAAGAAAGAATTGCAAGAAAACCATCTGTGATTATATTGGTTATGATTTGAGAATAATGACTCAAAACCCTAAAACAATGAATGCAGTATCATGTTCGGAGTTATCCATTGTTCGATCTAGATTACAATATAGTAAAAGAAATCGTAACTCCAATCTCCGTGCGTGCGTACAATAGACGAAGAAATAAACCTTCTGCACCCTTTCACTTCTACCCGACCCGAGCATTGCTAACCATGTCGATGGCAGTAAAGAGAAGAAGGAAGTCGATAGCAGGGCATGGCAAGGCCGAGGTCGAGACGGGTGAGGTGAAGCACAGAAAGAACTGGAGGAGGAACGGATGGATGGGACGCGTGCGACGTATTGTGCGGGATCTGGAGAATTTCAGGGAGGATTGGGAAAAGGAAGGGTGGGAGTTGTTGGGCGAAGGCGCTGATGCTATTACTGGCTCTGCAGGGGCTGCTGCTCGCGCCGCGGCACTCCAGAGCAGAGCCGTCGTGATTTCACTTGAGACAGACAGACAGAGGGAGCGGGCGAGAGAGCGAGAGCGAGCGAGAGAGAGAGAGGGATAGACATAGAGCACACTTGTTGACCACGGGATTCATGGTGGATTTGGCCGGTTCTCTCAACCATTGTGGGACACCTGGCTCGCTTTCACGTTGAGAAAGGGCAGGTCGACTGTTGCGGATCCCCTTCCTTGATTGCTTCACAGGTGGAGCAGAGGGACGGGAGGGCTCGAGAGGCGAACGGGGCCGGGAGGGCGCACGATTGGGGTTTCTACGAGGGCAGGTTGGACGGGGACGGCGAGTGAGGACCAGTTGTTTGTGGCACGTCCAGTATCTCCTTTATCCATTCCGGTCGTCGCTATTTCCTCTCGGGTCGCCTCGACGCTTTGGGTGGTGTGACGTCTTCGTCGGGGGTAGTCTCGGGAACAGTCGAGTGAGTGAGAGCGCGAGAGTGAGTCGGTGAGTGAGTGCTAGATGGGGATCGGCTGACATGGAAACTTGGTTCGATGAGAAGGAAATGGTAGGCTGAGGTGTACGCCGTGTGCAATGTCGTCCCTGTGTTGTGCACGAATGGTGGCTGTACCTAGATCGAAGGAGCTCGGATCAGAGGATGAGTAAGTTTTCTCATGTAGACATCCAAGCCGACGGATAGGGAGATGAATTTGTCTCGAGGATTTGATTTCGAGAGTTGCTTGCTGCCGTTGGGGGGCTGTTTGTTCGGAATGCTCGTCTGTGATTCCCTTGCATACGAGGGGGGGGTGGGGAATCAGTGCACTGGGAGGGAAGGGCGGGTTGGGAGGATGTCGGATCTTTCATATTCTGAAGTCGTCTCCGTTGTCACGTCGATGACTATGTTTTCCTCGACTTTCGTTGGTTATCACCTAGCTGCCTCAGTTAGGTCATTGGCTGCAAGATGTACGTTGTTCTTTACCTGGGGTGGGGGCTTGATAAACGGGTTTGCAAGAATTGTACTTTAGGTTAGTACTGTCCGACGTCTGATGACTTGGTTGCCTGAGCGGGACTGTTTATTGGGTCGTCTCTCTAGACTCGTTTCAGGGCTAGTTGTTTTGGCTCCAAGCCCACATCTTAGACATAGAGCCCTACTATACGACATTGTTCGGAATTTCGTGATCAAGTACGGGTAATTTCTTTCGCTGGTTTGAATATCGTTTCTTCGATTTCAACTTGACGTAGATAATTTCTAAGACAGCCGGATGCAGGTGGTTGATGATAACTTCTACGGGCCGGTACAAGAGATGGAGCTCGTTGATGGGATCGTAAAGCGGAAGTGGCTGTAGAGTGTCTTGGTACTGTCTTTTTGTTACATGTGTTGTTTGGAGGCCAGTACACGGTCAGGGTTGGTTTAATTTCACGGTGAGCTCCTTAAAGGACTAGACAACGGAGTGCCTGCGGGCCGGGCAAGTGGTGAGACCTAGTTTGCTCACCAGAGGAGAGGACATTGTGAGGATACGATGCCGGTATGGGTCATTCTTTTGGTGGCCGGAGTTCTCATAGTCGCAGCGTTTGTCCTTGTGATTGCTATTCATATTCTGGACGTACACGCTGAACAGCAATGTGCCCACCTTCATGATCTCACTCAGCGCTCCTTGCAGCAAAACCAAATTCCCAGTCCTTATCAGTACCGTGGTGGAGAACCGCAACTTTGTTGCGTTTGTGGCAGTGTGCGATTTCGTCGTTCTCAGACAAGTAGTGGAAACAACTCGTTATCACGATCGAAAAGCAGTTCTAGAACAGGATCGGCCGGGGGCCTCTTGCAGCCACTAGTGGATGCAGCCTGTGGGAAGACGTCTTTGGGTTCGGGATCTATAGAATGCTTATCTGGACTCTCTAGTAGACGACACGGAATGGCGAGTGGTCTGCAAGGGGGTTGGTTCAATGCTCGCAATCTCTTCAAGAAATCTTCAGGCAGTCGGGAGTCCCAGAAAAAATCAGATGCAGAAACTACACAAGATTCTGTGTCGCTGGCAGCCGCAGCGTCTTCAGCGTCTTCGGGGAGCTCGAGTTCAGCTGCAGCTTTCGCTTCCGCTAGTCGGACTGTAGGGGGATCTGGTTCTAGTTCTATGACCACAATCACAGCAACAATTACAACCACTAGCGCTCCTTCGAGTATTTCTCCGTCTACAAATGCTGGAACACAGGCTTCGGGTAGTCATGGAACTGACGAAGCGACTTACAAGCCAGCTTCTCAACGAAGACTCGTGCTAGAAATTCTGATGTCTCCATCAGGCACACTTGATGGTCAAGGAGGTTCTATACCCCGGGCCACGGGAGTAAGACTAAAATTAGAGACGAATGCTAGTTTAGAAAGCCTGGCAAGCCTTGCGGCTGCAGCGTCCTCTGGTGTGGCTAGTTCTCACCAGCCTCCGGAAGCAGACTCGGAAGCAGGTCTCTCTACAGCGGGGATTTCTACAGCAGCAGCGTCCGCCTGCTGTCCAGTGCCTGCAGTTGATTTAAACGTCAGCAAGGAGGGTAGTTTTCCAGGAGGATACGGTTCCTCGTGTAGGGCCTCTGGTACAGTTGTCAAATCAGGCAACGTCCAGGCAGGACTTGCAGCCTCGGTGAAAGCAGATGGGCTGAAGAATGAATCACACTGTCAAGGATCTAATACAGCTGTCTGCATTTCTGCTACGGCAGCCAAGATCAGTGTCCAAGGCGACGAAGTTTATTCCGAGATCTTTAGTGGATCTTCAGCAGATTCATCAATTTGCGTGAGTTCGCTCGACAAAAACGGGGCTGACTGCGGATTATTCAGCAGTTCGGTTTTGGGCACCACCTCTTCTGGAACTGCTAGCCTAGCATCTGCAGCTGCATGTAAAAGTAAGCAAAGCATGCAAGCGGTAGCCATTGCCGCGAATTCGAAGGCGAAATCCAAGAGTGGAACATGTAGCTCTGGTACAGATGTCTGCCCGCTTGCTGCGTTGGTGTCAGGAGGCGGACCCTCTAGTTCAAATGCCAATATTGCGAAGGGTACTTATCATCAGGCTTCTTTTAATTCGTCCTTAGATGGTTTGGGCTCATTGCGTATAAGTGTTCTCGATGGGGGTGCAAAGGGAAAGTCAATGAGAGAATGTTCGAAGGGCGTGACAGCGGAAATCGCTTCGGCACTCGCTGCCCTTAATGTCGAGTCCATCGGAGGAAAAGGCGTTGGGATGAGCTCAACTCTTGGAGTGGGGAACGTTCCGGCAGATGGACCTACGAAGGGGGATAAAGTTGATGTACAGCAAGAAGATGAAGTACCCGGAGACGGAAGTGGATCTGAACAAATCGTTGAAGAGGGGGATGAACATCAACCTGCTATACACGCCAAAGGAGACGGACCTGAGGAGGATGAGGTTGATGGGGCGAAGAAGGAAAAAAGGAAAAAGAAGAACAGGGTAAGGAGACAGAAAGCCAAGGCTGCAGCTGTTGCGGCTGCAGCAGCCAGCGTAGAAGCTCAGGACCGGCATTCTCACGAAAAACAGTCAACAGAATGTGGGGAGAAAACAGGTACGGCTTTGGAGGTTGAAGTCGGTTGCATATGTGGAACCCCTAAGGGTTCCTGTCACTCCATTGGTTGCCCATACCCGTTTACTTCGTCAGGCAGCATGGTACAACGCAAGATAAAGGAGCAGTACGACGAACTTGTGAGATCGAATGTGGCGAAGTCGTTGACGCTTGCCCAGGTTTCTTCTATTCATCTCTTTATGTATAATAATCGTCAAAGTTGCGTTTCCGTGAGTTCTCTTACAATTGAAGTCTCGGCTAGTTTGTTCACGCTATTAGGAGACTCAGATAGGCCACTAGGGTTGCTATAAGTTGTCATAGTTATGAGGAATTGGTGGCAAGTTTCTTCTAACGAGGATGATGTCGCAGGTGGGTCGCTTCACGACATGTCTAGTGGAGGCCAAATCATCTTTGCAACAAAAGTGAGTCCACTTTTCGACCTAGTGTACGATCTGGCCTGTGAAGTATGTTGCTAGGTTTTTATGGACAACGTTCAACCATGCCTGCTGTTCATTCTTTCGCATTTTTTCGGTACGTCAGCCTTCGGTTGACAAAAATTTAAGGCAAAGAATCGCTTTTCGTCCGTCGTGTGCGGTATGGATGGAGTTCTCTTATGTTTGCTTATAAGATCTTGATATATTATGGTGTTTCAGTAGCTTAGAAACAGATAGATACCATCTTAACCCGTTGTACACTACGCCCTTGTTATTTGTTTCCCTCAAAGACGTTATTTTTGTCACATGGTTAAAGATTAGTGATTAGTGCGTGTACAATTTCTTTATTTCAAATTCTCTCGAGCTCACGTGCGTAGCAGTACTCCATAGTGGTGTGAGCTATATTTTGTGGGTCCTAAATTCTGTTGAATCAATATGCCAGATCCGACACTATTCAGCGGAGATTTACAATCGCGAAGTCTTTACTTTCCAAAGCTGATAAGTCCTCATTTGATCGACTTTGTGGTCAGGTCAGTATATGTCTTTGGAGAAAGGTCCTCTATCTTGAATACACCTTTGAAAAGTCAGTAAAAGTTGTCAATGTTTATCTCATTTTGTACTTCTGTTTACAAATGCCTCTGATTGATATCTTCTTTGCTCATTTAGCGCAGATTTACGGTTTGGAGATAGAGCAAAAGAAGCTCGAAGAAGATACGGTAGTGTACAATCGCCTGCAAGAGCAACTGAAGCTCTCACCAGCTTATCAAAAGGTAGAGTTGTGCTGCTTTGTCTAACCGGTGTTTACATGTACATATCTACTCTTTTTTTGACTTGAACATGGGAATAAAGAATTCAACCATTACTATCGAACAGTTTTGGATTGTAGGTTGTACACAACCATGTATCGTCTCTTGTTAAATAAGCGAAACATTTACTTCATTACAGTCGTATTCAGTTCGTGACCTCTGTTCTACGTTCTATTCTCTGTGGGTGGCAGATGCTTGAATACGGAAGGACCCATTTTGAATTACAACCAAATACAGGGCAATTAATAGAGAAAGTGGACAGCGAGGATATGGAGATTTCTTTCGAAGAGTTACTTGCTCAGGAAAAGAAGGATTCGTTTTGGTATATTTCTTTTGTGCCTCATGTATCCATACCGATACAGAAGATTGAACACTAGATACTGTGCTACGTTTTTCGTTGGTGACGGATAGAATCGATACAGTACTCTAAAGAAAATTCATTACTTATACAACCATGTAATCTTATTTTTGCTGATAACTTCTAGACATGCGTTTGCAACGCGTCCCATTCCATGGCATTGACTTGCAGTGTTGCTGCTTCGTGATTTTTACGGTTTGCGATTGAAGTTGTCTCAGGAGTTGCATCATATTTTTGTTTTATTTTTACTTCTCATCACGCGGGTTGTGATAGCTCATATGCTGTTTGTAAGCGGATGCAGGCAAAAGCACGGGCCCTCGAGATCTTCTGTTCAGGTCAGCTGAGAATGGAGGTATTACTATGAGGGCTAGCGCAGATGTGGCACACAAGCGTTTGGAGAGTGTGACTTTGAAGACATTCCTTCAATTTCCACTTTTCAGGGGTTATCGTTGCCGGGATTCAATGGCCGGTGATATGGTTTACCGTGGTATGTTATCCCGAGAACTTATTGAAATGATGGCGCTTTTTATCCTTACCTTGCTACCTGGAGCTACTGACCAAGTTTTGACACAGCTGTCCTCATTCTCTTCATCTTTCTGGGTAATGGACGATTGTGACCCAGTTGGGTCTCCGGCACTTCCAATGATCCCCTGTACATTTAGCACGGAAGAGTACCAACTGGTATGGGATCCGATTTTTTTCAACGACACGTTAAGTCACTCGGGTTCTTTCTCCTCTTTGGCTTTTATACATTCGAAAAGCATTCGCATGATCCCTGGAAATGGACGAACCAAGTGCTTTCTTAGTAGTGCCTTCTGTTTATACCACATATGGGTAGTAGTTCAAGGAGATCAGCTCTCATTTCTTGTCCATGCTGCGCCAGTTACTTCGTTTATGCTGGCGTCGGGCCTGTATATTACGGCAAGTACCGCCTCTGTAGGAATGTTCTTTCTCTTTGTCTACTCGGGTAGCTCATTGGCATCGAGGAGATTGTTCCAAGAGAATATAGAGGCGGCGGCTACACGACCATGACAAGTAGACGATTTCCAAATCTGATTCTTTCTTAAGAGCTTGTTTCAAGAGCTATTTTCAGGAAACGTTTCTTTTAGATCTGTGCATCGACTCTGCAGCACGCCGAGAGCTGCAGTCTGCTCGTGCTTAAAGAGATAGAAACTATGAGACGATGCCCGTTCTCTTACTTCTAGATGATACGCTGCAAAAGGTTCAAGTGTTTAGAATCAGTGAAAAAGTTTAGGACAGATTTGGATTGGTGAATTTGGTTTTCTTCATCATTCATTCTGCAACAATTCAGTGCACACATAGTTGCTGAAAGTAAGGTGGGTCTATGGATAAATTTCCTAGGATGATTGTCATTAACTACATGTCGATTGTCATAAGCTCCTCTTCCGTCTGTTGCCGAATTTTTCTATGATGCCAAGCTCATGGCTGTAAGAAAGCCCCGGCCACGTAATCATCGGAACTTGTTCGCTTTTACCAACTTCGAATGTAACAGCCGCAACTTTTTGAGTGCAAGGTGCTATAGGAAAAGTGGAGAGTAGACTGGTTTCTTAACTCGCTCATCTCTGAGTGACAAAATCTGTGTAGGCTGTGGCTGTTGTCCCTGGTACTACTGTTACTTTTTGTTGGTCTTGGTGGAAAAGAAAGATGAGTCATTTTGGAGTCCTGTTCTGACTAAGAGTGCGTAATGCGAGAATCTCGCGGTGTTGAGCCCCTCTGGCGTACGAAATTCACGATACCTAGAACATGTGTGCGAGTGGAAGTCATTGCCTGAGTGTATGTTCCGATGAAGTTGAATGCCGGTTTTAGAGAGCAGTTCCTCCTTATAACTTACGTTCACTCCGTACTGCTGGCTATCCAGGTCTGGCATAAACTTTTGATAATTGCTGTCAGGATTCTGGCAGCAAAAGGATTGTTCAAGAAAACGTTTTCGGAAAGTCCTCTTCAGTCTCTATTTGCTTGTAGCGCGTGCTATGGATAGGTTCAGTTTAGCGCCTCGTCTTGAACCCCATCGTTGAAACGTTACGACTTTTTAACATTGTGACATCATGTACTGATCTGACTAGTTTAGTCCAGTCGGTCCACACAATGATGCAAGAGCACAAGTATCCAAGGGGTCGGGGCATCAAAGATAAATCATTATCCCACTTCCCGCCAGGTTGACAAGTGGAAGTTACGACATTTAAGTAAACTAGAAACTAAATTTTTGCATCTCGAGCACTGAGAGAAGTCTATTGCGAAGTTTTGACGTATTTCTGGAGATGTGTACAGCTCCAGAACTCCTCTAAACGTCGTAACTGGAGATGTGCGTTAATTAATTGACTCGTAGCACACTAATCACTACTAACACACCCAAGTGCGATGCAAGGTTACACTTGCCATTCACTTATCAGAGGATAATGAGCGTGTCTGCGATAGCATAAATACAAATTACCTCATATGCAATATGATGAAGGCGGAATGGGATGTGTTAGTGAGAATATTCACTACAAATTGAGTAGATAACCCTGGCAAACATGAGATTCGGAATTGGGAGGTAATTTTTGAATAAATTCATATTCCTATGGTTATGAGTTACTGCCTACCTGTTCTGTTTCGATGACTCCAGTGTAAACGAAAGGTATACCTGTAATTCGATGTGTCACTGCGCAATACAAATACAAATCTGGTCTCTCACCATACTCATACCTTCTCAATATTCTCATTCTTTCGCTATGTGCTACATCACTACGCTAGAGTGCCTTCTAAATTGTCTGTGGAAGTACAACTCTTTTAGAGTCACACTTTAGAAACTTTCACATTCTCTCAAGGCTTTTGATATATGCTCTATGAGTAGATCTGATTATACAACACTTCTTAGGGTTATGTCTAGGACTTTTGATGGCGCTAGCTTAGGACTGTAAAGACTCGGTCACCGCCATGTAGATACTTGCACAATAGATGCCTTTGTAATACTTAATCATCAAAGATTTGTGTTTGTCGACGCATGTTAGAGAAAAACGGTTTCATAAATTTCGAGATTATGTCACAATGCTATAGTTAATTTTGTTGGCATTTGTTTTCTACAAAAGGTAGAGAATTTCGAGTGAGATTTCTCTCTCTTTGATTGCCAGGTTTAAGATTTCAGTATTCTCTATTCATTATTCAAGTCTCTTCATCTTCTTGGGGATGTGCTGACATGATTTATTTCATTCGAAAAACGCAGGGATTCTTAGAGAAGTCTACTGAGAAAATAATCTTCTTTAAAAGAGCAACTATAGATGTAAGATTTATAAGTCTACCCTTTAAATCTCAAGTTGAAGGCCAAAACAACATTTTTGCCACTCTTCGTCAGAATATGTTTTTCATATGTGTGGATTGGGAGTAAATCTAGTACCACCTATGTAAACTTTTGAGATAAGTGGAGTAAAAACTGCATAAATCTGGGTTAGCATTTCAATGTGTGGTTCAGACGAAGAAATAACATTTTCACTTTGTATAAAATATGAGAGTATGATGGGTAAGTCTGCACGACTCACTTGTACTGTGACAGTTAATGAAATCAACAAATCATTTATCTATTTCAACGAGTTTTTTAACGGAAAGAGATACAAAATCACATGTATCCGCGTATAAATCCGCATAATGTTACGCATTATCTGGACGTGTTCATGATAGATTTCAAAGAAGACACCAGGTGCCCTCGGAAAAAACGCCGAGTAAGGTGTATGTAAGTGAAAATGCTAATATTAGAGAAACACAAGAAAGGGGCAAATTTCGTTTGAAAGTTACTTTCTTCCAAAGTTTTGATGATGGAAGTGATGAAAGTATTCATAAATGTCGGAAAGATATAATCGGTGAATGAAAGTAATACTAATGATTCATCATTATACTAGTTCTGGAACAATAAATGATGAACAAAACCAATCACTCTGAAGAATATATGATTTACCTTTATTGCATACTGATGATTTTATTATATTTGATTTGTGGACATTTCGAATCTCCAGAGTTTGCAAGAGACATGTATGTGTTAGGTACATCAACTGTTACATAGTATTAATATGATATGCAATTATTTTATCCAATATTATAAGATAGTATGTTTGAAATATATATATTGATACATTTCAAGTGGATGTAAACATTCAGTCGATTTTAGCTTGAGTTTTGTCTTGATGATAGATAAATATCAAGATCCATAATGTACGAAAGATAAAGTTCTCTTCATACATTGGTTGCATATTGTTAAGATTGATTCAAATAAATTTCTTTTATCTTGATACTAGAAGAATATCAAGTTCTTTCAACGTCTGGGAAGTTCATCTAGATGTTATGCCATGCCAGTAACTTGATATTTTAATTTGATATTATATGAAGTTGTTGTAACATCGTAGATTTATTTCTTTAAGATGAATTTTTTCAAGTGTTTGAGTTTTACATCATAGTGCTTAAAAATGAGTTGACTTATCTTACTCCTTTTGTATGTGTAATATCTAAAGTTTAATTTCTGATCGGATGTATCTAAGCTCTTACAGGTGACTCTCTTACAGGTGAGCTCTCTTGCTAGGTGACTACCTAGCAATTTTGAATTGGTAGTGTAGTTGTTTGATCAGAGACTCTTATGAATTACAATTTCACTATCATGCTTTCTCCTAGATTTCGGGATTTTATGTGTTACAATCTCGAGATTCTACTGACAAAATAGGCGCTTGCAACATTCAACAAACCATTGTGAATACAAATACAAAATAGGAAGTATCCGTGGAAAATTATTGTCAGAATCATATACAGCAAAACTAAACCTAGTGGACTTTTTTCCATTCTAACCTTCTGGTCTAATCAGATTTTTTTTACATTCTACATGAATGTGATGCATGTTTGAATGCATATTATCCTCATTTTTTATCAAGTTTTTTTTAATGACACATTGAATATCCATAATCTTTAGATATAGAAATCTTATCTATTCAAAAACATCATATCTCAGTTTTAAAAGAAAGTAAAAGAAGAAATTTTTACTATACCTCTTTTCTTTCTAATTTTGTGGATTGAAGATTCGATAAGATTTGGGTTGAACCTAACTCAAAAACATCTTGTTCATTCTCCTTATGACTACTGTTGTATCCCAAATATTTACAATACAATCCGGTCATTCTGCAGTTGTTCTCTCATCCATTCCTTGCTTCCTTCCTTCCCCGCTTGTTCTTCGATGTCCGCAATCGCGGCTAAGCATCGCACTCCACAGAAGAACCAGAAAATGAGAAGACCCCGAAAAAAACACCGAACATCCAGACTAATCAGCTTGCGGGGCCAAGCAGGATGGCGCATTTTATGCACAAAATGCAAACTGGAGTTGACCCGGTTCGCAGATGTTGCCGGGCCGAGGAGATTCTTGTGCCCGCTGTTCTTGCTTATCCGTGCGGCCTTTGCATGAACAATACACGTACCGGCATCGTATGGGCAGCGGCACAGCTTTGAATTCAAATAGTCTACTCGGGCGCCTATTGCTTGCTGGAAGTCAGAGTCGTGCGGCACAGCAAAGATTGTTCGTTCTATCGAGACAAGTCAGCTTATTCTTCACGCAAGGCGCCAACGTTATGCATCCTGGTTTGAATGGGGCCGAGGTGGACCGGAGGGGATGATGCCACTGAAAGGGTGCAGTCGCATGAGCACGAGAGAGCGTGAGGGTCAAGTCGCCCGTCGCCCAACGAGATCTCGCTGACCGGCGATTGCACAGTTGCGGGTCTGCTCGTGGACATGGAGAAGAAGGCGGAAGAGTTCGGCTCTCTCTAGAAGTCGCAGAAGGCGGTCAGCGGAGAACGACCACCGAAGAAAACATTTCCTCTTCTGGTGTCCAAAGATTGGGCTGGGCCCCATTCTAAATCTTCGAACTGGATGCACACTGCGGGTCACAGTATCCATTCGTCGATGCTATCGGGTCAAAGATGCCAGCTATGTGCATGTATCTTGCCAGCCCCAATCTGCAATATTCCTTCTTGTTTTTTCTTGCACTGCTGTGTCCTTGAAAACGCTCGGCCGTTTAGGCATTACAGTACTGGTGAGCTTCAAATAGCGCTAAAAGCCACCGGTTGCATTCAGTGGATTTTAGGGCATACTTTTCGAACAGCATTACTCTCATATGCACTTAGTAAATTGCACAGCAATGAGCTCCCCACTTTGATATCCTACTTAGTGTGCACTAAATTAGTTGCAAATGACTGATTGTTTCACATCTATTAGTCATGTAGAATTATAGATGGGATTCAGTCCAACTAGGTTCTTGATAAGGACAATTCATCTTCGGAGAACGAAAGAGGAAAACTCGAGATTTCCAACCTGGCATCATCCAGACTTGGGAGGTATCGGACTCCAAAAGGGCATTCCACTACTGTGAGCTCGGTACCACTCAAGATGTTCCCGACGGCTTTTGAAGAACCAGCAAACCTAGTCAATATAAGAAGGCGAGAGTTGCTACATCCAAGTCACTCGCACGAAAGGCTAGGTTGCCCATTCTTAAAATATTCAGAAGATACGACCACAGGCAGATTTGAGAGGACAAATATAGCACTCCACATATTGATCGTGTCCAACCTGATTTTGATTGCGGAGATCTCATGCGCCAAGATCTCCATAAATTGTTCTGATTTGTTTTGTTGTGACGTCAATTCTCCTCTGTACAAGCACTTTCTAACATGCTGTGAAGAAAAGAATCCATCATCAGAGACATGGACTTACGTGACGCCAAACACTAAAAACTCGATTCTAGCTCAACGAATCCCCTAAACATGTAACGGTAAGAAGTCATCTCCGTTAAGCGGCAACGGTAAGCTATGATTATGAGCAAGCTTTCTGGAATGTTACTTGATTCATTAGGTTACTCGTTGGAGTAACGCAAAGTTCTTTTAATTCTTTTCTGTTACTTGATTCATTAGGTTACTCGTTGGAGTAACGCAAAGTTCTTTTAATTCTTTTCTATTTGATACTCTAGGAGCCTCTAACTTACAAGAAGATGAGGTTAGACTGATGACATTTTAAATGCACCTGTACGATAGTCATAGCAGATATTTTGCTATTCACTTCTTTTCTCATGTCACACATACCAGGATCATTCGGAGAAAAATGAAGTAGGAAAATCAAGGTAATTGGTCACGTTTCTTCTTTTAGCATGAGAGAGCAAATTACGCAGTTTCTGAAGTCAATAAATTTGTGAGAATTGTAAATTCCTTTAATATACTTAAACATAAATTTTATTCTTTTGGAAAAAATTCAATTCATGTCCTATGGTTCAAGACAATTAAGGAGATCAAAATAAATATAGATTATGATAAATAGAACTTTCAATCTAATATATTTTTTGTCCATAAATTTCTTGTTGTGAGGATTAAAGTATTTATTATGTATATATATATATATATATGATGGAGTTAATGCAAGCCTCACAAGGCCTGGGAATTCCCAAAATAATAGAAATTAACCTAAATCATGGATATTACTCATTTTAATTTTGGTAATTTTGAGATTTACTGAAAAACTAAAATACTCTATTACTTGATCCCTTACTGGAATCGGTTTGGATCTGACTTCCAGAAATAGACTTCTTCACGTGTTCGGTCTCGGACTTGTACGAGAGAGTGATTCCTGTGTTTTGCAGCTGGATTGCTTACTATTCTATCTGATTGATTCTTCTCCAAGACTATCATACAGGATCTCAGTGAATTAAATATTTGCTATGTTCTTTTCTCTGGAATTTATTCTATGCTATATTCTTGTCCCTATCCTCACCATCGTTTTTGGTCTTCGAGATGTACTTCGAACTAATTGGAAGCAAATCACGATAGATGATTAATATCACAAGTCTTTGACTTCAATTATTTTGCTCGGAATTACTTTCGAATGGAGTGGATTTATTGGTTACAGCATCCTTGAAAGACTTCAAGGACAGTTTTTATTGATTAATTGAGTAACCGCCAAAAGGTGCAACCTCAAGAGTCGTGTCTGGGATGGATCGTCAGTGAACTACCCTCTCAACCACGTCAAGTTTCAAAAGAACTAGACAGGATTGCCCTCGGAAGACCATCTTCCTAAACTCTGAAAATACTCTCATTCACATGAACATGCATTTAACATTTCTGTAGAAGAGAACTCGAAGCGTGTAATTTGAATTTCAGAATCAGAATACAAACGCACATGAATCGAACTTGTAACGATTTTTTTACTATGTGGCGTAATTCTATTGGTGGCAAAGTTAAATTTATCTCTATTCAATAAATATTACCAAAAGACAGTTTCATTTACGATCTTGACGGCCTAATTGATATATGGACTCCGCAAGATTTATTTTTGGTTAATTTTGGGATTTTGGAGACAAATTCCAGAATTTAGGAGTCATGAGTTACTCAGCTGATTTTTGTTAAAAAATGTAACATTTTATGAATTTCAGATAAGAAGAATAGAACATCATTTCAAAGTGACAACTTAGAATAAGGGTATGTGTAGAAACACAATAAGTGTAGAAAGAGGGCTGGTGTTCATAACTATACACAGTTAAACCTCCCAATAGTGGTATACTTTGGTGCTAGAGTTTTAAGTCACTTTTGGTAGCTGTCACTCACACAAGTTCGGTTGACATTTAGCGGATCATATAGAAGTATTCTAATTCCATGTACAGCGTATTCGCTAAATATTTAACGGATCATTTTGTGGATAATATCATTCTTGATAACTTGTTTTGAATTCAAATATCCGATTGTCTTAAGTAAACGTCAGCTCAGATCACCAAGGTAAAGCAGAGTTATAAATTGTGAAAAGTGAGCCAATAGAGCATAAAGTGATTTTTGTCTTTTGTCATATGTTAAAATGGTTAAAAAAATAAAATTAAAGTAACGTAACACGGAGAAAAATGGACTGGGTTGTTTGGTGGAATTATGAGGACAAATACATTTTCATAAATCGAGGTTACATAACCACAATTTCCGATTTATTTTGCATTTCTTCTAGGGCAAGGCGTGGGGGAGTGCAGACATGACGGGAGAGCGAGTGCAAGGAAGGCGAGGGGGAGTCAAGACACGGTGCGTGGTGTGATTTCACGCCATGTTAACGGCGAGTTGGGAGTTCAATGGAAAAAAGCAATAAAGAATCAAATACAAATTTTTTTGAGAATCAAAATTAGAACTTAACACTATGAGAGAGTATATGTCACTATTGCCAATAGTAACATTAACTGCTTTTATTGGATAGATTTACAAGCTAAATCCTAATGGTTCTTGAAATCAATCATTACTTGGAGCATGTCACTAATACGAGTTGACAATATTGGAAGGTTTAAGTATGTACTTGTAAATCTCCATAGTTCCGAGGCACATTATCAGTGAACATAGATGCTATCTGCATGGTGAAAATCTTTCAGATCTATATCTTGAGTGTTGTTACATCATTGTCTATGACATCATTCAAGTCGATCTAGTGTTCAGATGGAAGTCAGGGAAGGCACTACAGTATGCACATCACAACTTCTAGCTCTGGAGACGCATAATTGCCCGAAGCATGTTCCAGGGCTGCATTTTGCGCTACTCGACACGTGCTAACAGTGTCAAAAGCCCAAGATTTAAGGAGGCCTAAAATGCAACGTGTGTTGCTCTATTTCATTTGACTCCCTCCTATTAAGTTGAGGAGTCCTCTGAACCTTGGCAGGTCTTCAGAGGAAAAAGCCTACCGAACAAAATGGATCTGTGCGTCACATCGTCTGTAGGCTGTAATACTACTGTTTGATTTCGAACAATAGTTTCTATTCTCGACCGACACGCGCCAAACTTTGTTAGATAAATCTTCTGAATTTTTCCGACAGGTAGGACTCTGGGACAGACAGAGAGCTTCATGAAGAAGCTTCTTCTCTCTATTCAATGAGCACACTGTACTTGCTTTCTCATTCTTTTCGTACACATTCAGCTCTAGAATAGTACAGATCGATTCGAGTCAACTCCAATTTAAGAAGCATCTTGATTCTTGTCATGACGGAAATTACAGAAAAATGATTTCAGCTCCATGGAATCAAGTGTTATCGCCGGTGTGAACTAAGCTGCCTATCATGCTTGGACTTCAGTCATTCTAGCGATATTCCTCCGGTGAGTAATATGAACGAAACTCTAGAATATTCAAAGCAACCATCTCGTCCGCAGTTGTGATCATTGCAAGCTCACAACTACACCGCTGCTGTAGGATAAGCTAGGGTCTAGTACCAAAAAAGTGTACTGTACTTTGATTGAAAAGATCGAGTTTTGTCGTCTTCCCGCTTTGGCACCGGCGCATTATTTTATCATTGATGATTGGTTTCTGTCAACGACAGCGGAGTACTGGGGATTCCGTTTCGCCCAACAACATTCATACGTTGTAAGAATATCCTTATTGAGGACGAGGACTCCCGACTAATTGTTTGTGTGCGAGGCAGATAAATTCTTGATTTATTTTGTGTCGGCAGCTGCTTGTGATGGCATCACGTAAAACTTACTTCCTACTGCATTTCTTCCAATGCGTTTTACCATTATGTTTACACCTATAGAGGAGGAAATTTTTTCGTTTTACAAGATGTGACACCACTTGACGGCCATGCAACCAAAAGTCAGACATATTCCAATAAAATTTGCTCTATGGTATGGGGAGTGTGTGCCAATGTTGAGCCAAAGTATTTTGGCGATTGGTTCGTAGCCATGTCTGAGAAAGCGACGGGCACCACAAGTCTGAAATTCTCCCGATATGATATAGCCGTGACTTCATCTTACTACCCAAAATAACACATAGATGGTGTTAGATGGGTGACATCAAGTAAAATGAAACCTGCAGGGTCGTCAATGGGGTAAAATGAAACGTGTTGGTTCTATCACGTGTTTTGAGTTTCCCCGGGGTCCCATCAAGTAGTTAGAGCTAGCAGGCATATACCGTCGTTGCAGTAATAGCCGGCAATGTTATTGAGAGTGGGTCTATACTGAAACATGGATTCTTCAAATTTCAAAGTGGGTTTGGTCCGGCAGTCCATTTGCGGCCGTTGCAGTTTCTTGGGGTTCATAGGGGTGTGATTTTCCGTATTGAGATTTGGAACTAATGTAACTTGCAACTTCAAGTCTCTTGTAAACTATGGCTATAGTCTCAATGTTGCTAAATACATTATGACTTTATAAATAATTATTTTATGTGGTATGATTTTGTACGTGTGTAGTAATCTTTACTCGTGATGTATGCAACATAAATGTGAAAACATACGTTCAGTTTGTATACATGCAATAAATGTATTGAAGTACAGGAAAATGCAAATCTGTTATTTCTTATTCTAAAGCTTTGGAAATAGATGGCAATATTGACGCTAAAATCGCCATATTGCTTGAAAACATTACGTGACTACCACTTAGGTCAAAGTGATACTACTGCCTTTAGGTTATTGCGTACTCTACTTTAAAAATACATGTTCATATTGTTATAGAGAGAACGCTGGAAAGATTAACGTGACAACAATTCTGGGCCAAAGTGATACCAAAGTCTTTAGGTTACTGGATATTCTACTGAAAATAACATGTTTATATATTTCTAGTCAAAACCATTGGGAAAATTCAATCATAAGACAAAAATCAATGAGCTGATAAAAGGTTTAGGAAATATGTTGTAAACAAGTTGACTTATATAGCGTAGGTGAGCTACTGGCATTTTCCACTGCGATGATAGTGGACCTTGTCCCATCCTCAGTGTATGGATTCATACATGCAAGACTTGATAATCCTTTGGATGCTTTAGTGTAGACAAGTTGACCTATATAATTGGGATATATTAGGTGATGTAACAACATGTTCCGTAGTGATGCTGTGGTACCTTGTCTCATGGTTACTGTTTCGATTCATCCACGCGAGACTTGGTGAGCTCTTTCCATCCTTTTTCGGTATTTAAGTTTGATCTAGATCTATCGGGAATGTTAGAGCCCCGGTTAGACTTCATCGAAAAGTCTGTTTCTCGGACTTCGAGCTAGAAGTTCAAAGCCCTAATTCGGCAGCAAAGTTCGCTTGGTGTGAATGGACATCATCAAGCCGGCCCAGGACAGCATACCATACCGTAAATTGGTAATTCTTTACAGGGTCCATGCGTATGAAACGCAACCTGCACCGCCTAGGCTCTTCGATGCATATCATCTCGATGCTCATTTGCTTGTGCGATTGCATCCGAAAGATAGGATCGTCCAGTTGGTGTGGGGCCATGCCAGAGACAATGGCATGGAAGTGAATACTCTGTGGACTGGAAACACAACAGTGCGCAGGGTCTGCACTGTAGGCTAAACTTGCAGAGGAGCAGTCTGGCAGTCAGAGAGCGAGGCAGGGAAGTGCGCTCCCTCGAGCGTCGATGCCAGGATTCTCGATTCGTGAATCGCTCTCTCGGTATCCAGACCGCACATCTCGAACGTCGGCCACGTCTGGAAGCCAACGGTGGCCTCGGGCTATGCCGTCAGCATCCGCAGTCAGCACATGACGTCGGCTGATGCTTCAGGGCTGCAACCTTGGAGGAATTCTTCTCCTTTATCGTCTCCGATTTGCCGGACGGACGGCCGGACGGACCCACTGATTGGCTGTGGCCGTATCTTTCGTCGATTGACTGAGACGAAGAGCGGAGATGAATCCGGGACTCCGGGCCCTGGACACGGTCCGTCCGGGGTCTGGGACGTACGGCCGGCTTGGACCGGTTCCAGACCCGACTGACTCACGCAGTCAGTCGGATGTGGAACGTGCTCCTCAAGCAAAGTATCGGTGCTCACTCTGGCTTCGCATTTTCTTTATTCGCCCCTCGCTTCTCATCCTCGTTCATTCAAAGGTCCGTATAGCATTGTCCCGCCACGTACACTGGTTCATAACTTTGCACTACGTGGATCCTGCACCTGAGGAAGGGCTTAGGTGCTGCATGCACTGTACTGGCACGATTGGCTTGAATGTACGAGGTTCCTGTACCGCCGCTCGGTGGGTCGTCTCTCGCTGACGGACATGTCCGTGGTGTCGACTTCTTACTTACCCACTTCGGTGTTTCATTGGACCAAGCAAGAGTTGTTGAACGAGTACTTTGTTATAGCGGGAGGTTTAGTTTACAGCTTCACGAATCAGCACTCGTGGGGACCTTCGATCACTTGTGTCGTAGAATCATGAACCTCCCGATCGTCTAGACTGAAATGAAACATGAATAATTTGTTTCTTTGGATACCATGCATATCAAGAAAAAAAGGTGAAAGTGCAACTATTCTTTTCCTCGGATCTTTGCATGTGGTTCGATGGATAGTGCACGAACCTATAAAAGGAACATATTGTCTGAAAAGGATGACAACATCAGGCACTCTGATAGATGCAATAGCCTGTACAGATGGACATGGGTGATTTGCCAACTACCTCTATTTGCCTCTTAAATCAGAACACCGAAGTCAGGGATTCTCATACTATTTGTATTGATTCTTCCATCACGGGTCTCCTTGAATAGGGAGTATTAGGCTAATGAGGAAGAATTTTGTCCCCGTAGTCACAAGTTACTGCCCGTCACTTTCCTCTTTCTGCACTGATTGGATAAAGGCATACAATCTACTTGATTGAGCTTTAGTGTCAGGCCCTTCACTTTTCCTCTTGCAAGGGTGAGAGCTCCACCATGCTTCTTTTCTTTCAACACATCCATGACGCCTTTCTTTAAAATAAATAGAAAAATTAGTAAGTAGGGTTTTGCTGCTTCCGGTCGTGCTTTTCTCCTGATGCTAGGAAACAATGTCGCGAGCGATAATCACTTTCTCACTTCGAGAAGCGATTATCTTACCTTCTCCCTTCTAGAAATCTTCTTCGAGAAGTGATGAGCGCTCGCGACATTGTATCCTGTCGGCAGGAGAAAAAAATATTCTAGAAAATGTCAAGGTGATTAGATGGACGAGAGAATGAACCCGAAGATGTATCTTCAAAGCGAGAGTGCTTCCTCGATCAAATCAGAAACTAGGTTCCATGGTGATGCAGAAAATAATCACCAGGCATGGACCTGGATGTAAAGACTGCAAGAGCTGTGGTCGGATCGAAGCCCTGACGGAATGAATGGAAAAGGCCAGAAGTAGTTGGATTGGCCGAAGCAAGAAGGGTGTGGAGTTCATTCGGCGTGCTGGTGTTCGCGCGCCCAGCGGCAGGGCGGATATCCATTGCGCGCGGCAGCGGTGAAACAAAGAGAAAAGATTCAGGACCGAATCCGATGCAGTCAGTGGGTGAGTGAGACGGAACATCGTCACGAGGGTGGGCCTCCGCCATTTGGCGCGAAGAATTTGGAGCGCCACCCCGCCGACTGACAAACTCATGACGGAGAGACCGGGGCTGCGATGTGGTGGCACCGTGACACCGGTCCGGACTCTGCACGCAGCAGACAGAGGTGACCGGGACCGGGAGGAGGCCGCCCTCGCGCGACTCCCCAAGTCGGTCAACTCGGCGCAGGCTCAGGCAGGCGATTCGAGGGCGATCTCGCCCCGGATTGCATGCATAACGCACACTCTCCCGCCTGTCCCTTCCAAGCGGGCCACGGGCCGCAGCCTATCCCGCCGTCGGCGCGGCCAATCGGGGTGGCGCATGACTCGCGAAGAGACGCGCCGCGACGGACGCGAGGGAGGAGCGGGGAGCAGAGCGGAGCTGAGCTCCTGAGTTTCGGGACGGTCGCGGGTGGCGTCAGCCCACATGGTCGCGCGAGGCAGGGCTGCGCTTTGTCCGGTGTCGGGCTTGTCAGGCGACCGGGTCGGGAGGCGCGAAAGTTTTCCTTTGCGGAAGTGGCTGTAGCAGCTGTAGGCGCTCGGTCGAGCCTCCGGGACATGCAGCAGCCCGGCAGACAGTCGCCTCGTTCCCGGCGGCAACTTTATAACTCCCGGCCCGGGGAATTGAGCTCCAAGCGCTCGCCGCAAGGACGACCTCCTGCACAGCTCTGTTTTGCGTGGCGTTGCTATTGTTCTTCCTCGTTTCCGCTCCGACCGAACGAGCGCGCGAGTGAGTGCGAGAGGCTTGCAGGTAGGAGCAGCGATCGAGTGGACGTGGAGGTCGCAGCGCTCCATGGGAATTGACGACGACGAAGCACGGGCCAGGGAAGAGAAAGGTTGAAGGTTTTTCGATCTCTCCGGCACGTTCGTCGTACGAGGAGGAGGAGGAGGCGGAGGGGAGGGTTTGAGGGAGAGAGAAGTCGAGGAGTTTTTAGCGTTGAAGACGCGACGGGACGGGACCTCTGCGGTGGGTTGATCTATCGATTTAGATCTGACAGGAATCGGACATGGCGACCATGGGGATGAGTAATAAGAAGGGATCTTGGACAGGGAATGATAAGGGCTCGGGTGATGGGAAACAGCGGGATCGAAGCAGGAACATGACGGCCGATACCCCGCTGGCTGCACAGCTTCAGCAAGCCTGGCTTCAGACGCAGCTACCCCGGCGCAATGTACCGAAGCTCGACTTTCTCTCTCCTGTACCGTCTCCCGACTTGTCGATGTCGCGCAGCTCTTCGGCTTCGTATCCGTCTTCTCAATCGGTTTCCCCGGATTCGGACACGCTCACCAGCCACTCGGAAGCTGGATCGTACAGCCCAGTAGAGAGTAGCACCACTAACGAGTACAACTACAATTATGAGCAGGATGACCCCATGAACGATCCGCTGTTGTCATATATATCGGACATGTTAATGGAGGAAGACCTCTGCGAAAAGAAATGCATGTTTGTGGAGTGTAGTGCCTATCAAGCTATGACCAAGGAGCTCGCGGAGTTGATTGGGGATCCTAGTGCTGCCGATGACCTTTACTGTAAAGACTACGAGGACGGAGCTGCTGAAGAGCTTTCCGGTGTCACCAGCTGGGTCGACGAAGTCCTCGACTCGCACCCTTCTCAGTATTTCGACAACTATGAGCACGAAAACTCGTTGGAATCTTCTGCCGGTGTTGTGGATGACAGTAGAGGGGCATCTCCGACTGACGTTCTGGCCTCGTGTGCGTCTGGAAAGACTGCAGGTGGTGCTATTAGGGTGAATGTAATTCCACAACCGGGAGGTATATCTGGAGTTAGAGCAGCCCGCGAAGAGGTGGTGGGATTGGGTGTAGAATGCACATACTTAGATGCGGATACTCCGAGGCTGACTCCGGGTTTAGATTACGCCGCTCCGGGAAAGAGCGGAATAGACTCCTTAACAGATTTGTACCCTGTGCTGATGGAGTGCGCTCAAGCGGTGTCGCGGGACGACGTAAGAGAGGCACACCAGCTGATCAATAGGCTCAGAGAGCTGTCCAGCCCTAACGGAGACGGTGGACAGAGGCTGGTTCACTACTTCGTGGAAGCTTTAGTTGCGCGGCTCTCGGGGACTGGCGGGCGGCTCTACACTGCCTTGTCGTCGAATATGCCCAGCGCTATGGACATGCTTAAAGCCTACAAGCTGTTCGTGCAGTGTAATCCCCTGCCGAAGATTGCACACTATTTTGCCAATAAGACTATCTTCGACGCGGTTAAGGGGGCGAAAGCTGTACACATAGTTGACTTTGGTATTTTGTATGGAGTTCAATGGCCGTGTCTTATACACGCGCTGTCGTCCAGGCCAGAGGGGCCTCCTCATCTGCGAATTACGGGCATAGATTTTGCCCAGCCCGGGTTTAAATCCACCGAACGTATCGAGGAGACTGGTCGGCGGCTGGCCGAAAAGGCCAGATTGATGGGTATCGAATTTGAGTACCAGGCAATTGCTGGCAAGTGGGAGCAAATCCAGCCAGCCCAGCTCAACTTGAGGCAAGAAGAAGTGCTTATCGTGAACAGTATGTTCCGGCTACGCAACCTGTTAGATGAAACCGTAATGGCTTCTAGTCCGCGTAAGATGTTGCTGAATAAAATTCATAGTTTAAATCCCGAGCTTTTTGTCACCGGCATAGTGAATGCTGGTTACAACACTCCTTTCTTTATGGCTCGTTTTCGGGAGGCTGTGAATCATTACGCGGCTGTTTTCGATGCAATTCACTCCGCAGTTCCTCCCATTGCCGAGTTGAGGCTTTTTTCTGAGAGGGAAATTTTAGGCAGGGAGATTCTAAACGTTATAGCTTGTGAGGGCGTGGAAAGATTAGAGAGGGCCGAGAATTTTACGCAGTGGCAGTCTCGCATAACTAATGCTGGATTCAAGCAACAGCCTTTGGATTCTGCGGTTATCGATAAAGCTAAGGAAATATTAAATCCTTTTCATAAAGAGTTCGGAGTCACCCAGGTTGGCAACTGGATGTTAAGCGGGTGGAAAGACCGTGTTCTCCATGGTCTGACTGCCTGGAAACCTTGACAACTATCGATACTCACATAAATGTACATTGTTTACAGTTTTAAGATATTACTTTTGTAAGCTCGGACTGGAAAGCTGCCACTTATAAGGTTCTCATCGTTCTCTGTCTTCGGGATTTGTGTAACAAGTGGACTCAAGTTCGGAGCATCTTCAATTCGACATGGTTTTCTCTCTAGAAAGGTGCGGCATTTTGCCCGTGGACTTGGTCCTCGGGCAAAATCGGTGTTCCTGTGAAATCTGGAGAGCTGACCACGTATCTGATGCATTCTACGGATATTCTCATTCTACGGATATTCTCACTGCTTTTGCGTTGCATTCATGGCCCACCGCTGAATGGAAGTCTTCGCGTTTCACGTATGGTTCAACGGTCGAAGCACGACCACTGCGAACGCGAGAATTGATATATATCTGTATGTTTTATAGTTGCTCCGCCTTAATTGTCAAGCACGGCGTTTGAGTAACGCGAGAACCGAAGCACATTGTACGCCTTCGCCAGCTGACTTTGTCGTAGATTCAGAGAGACAAAGGGTTCGAAAGAGAGGTTATGCGGGGTTTGTTGGCTGCTCTGCTCTATCAAGCCGGATCTGTGTGGATGACGGGGAGAAACAGGTGGCGAGGCGGTGAAGGCATCTTAGCGATTTTGCTTCATCGGTCAAAATGTTTGTCTACAATTTGGAGTGTAGCTAATTGCCCTTGGTGAAGGGATTCCCCTCTCTGTCGTAGTCAACTGGATGATTTTCTCCTAGGATGTGGGACATGTGCTCGACAAGGCATGCTGATGTTGCTACTTGACGGACGAGACAAAGTTTCTGTTGTATACTAGTGCAGTGTAAAGTATCGGCATGAAGGCATCCTGCAGATACACACATTGAGAGAGGGGATTAAGCTTGCGGAAAGGATGGGATTGACTGATGGGACGGTCCTATGAAAAAGGTACAGGATTGGAATCAAGCTTATGACCAACATATATAACGAGGTGTTGTGCATCCCCACTTCAAACGTGTGTTACGTGCAGTTGCGATGGTGCATTTGATTGGAGAATCTGGTTTTAAGTTCAGATTTTCTTTGTCATGTATATCCTACATAGAATTGTATATGTACATGAGTTTCATTGCTTATCAATCCAAGTTAAAGACCTTATATGGTGTCAGAAGATACGAAAAGTTTGAAACTATCCCATCAAATCGTAAGAAAATAAAAGCTGTCCCAATCAACAGGATGAGGGTGAAAAATATATAATATAACACATTATCTATAAACATACTTTATAACATATGAGGTATACAAAATATCAAACTCAAATATTTTACAAGTAAAACAACAATTTTATATGAAAGTGAAATGATAAGGCTTTATCATAAGTGTACAGTAGAAACTAACTCAAAGTGCAAGAACAACAGTTCATGGTGATTATTTAGGATTTCTCATCTTAGTACTAAATTTTAAACTCTAATTTTGTTTTGAAATTATTTTGTGTAATGTGGTTGCATTATTTTTTGTTGATGGTTTTTAATACTATCTAGATAGCTTCACAAGATTGGTGATTTTTTTACATAAGTGAATAGAAATTTCAGATTAAGTTGATAACAAAAACAACAAAATCCAAAGATTAACTACTGTTGAGGTTAACTCCAATCAAGGAGTAACCTCCCGTCCTAGTTATTTATAGCTAGAACGGTTGTCTGGACTGGGGTTAAATATCTCAGTTTCTGTTATGTACGAGAGTCTTTTGTGAGTAAAGCATAGCGTGTTCGCGGTGTACGGAACACTCCTCTTGAGGATGAATCACGTTACATCATGTCTTGCATGTGACTTGATATTCTGCATTTTAGGTTTTTTCGGTTAACGCTAACAACTAAATGAGATGATTTTTATAAAAATTATGGTAGTTGGATTTGACATAATCATGAACAATGAATGTGATGACATTTTCTCTTTGAAGAGATAAATTAATGTCAATCATAAAACAACAAGTTTAAATAATCTGTAAAGATTTTGATTTTTTAATCCCAATATAAAAACTAAAAACAGTTTTTAAATTAGGATCAAAAGTTGATGATGTCATCATTTCATCTAATACAACACTCCATGTTCACATTGAAATAATGATAAATATACATAAGTTTTGAATCTAAAGATAGATCCAAGTTTACTTGTAAATTTCAAGATATTAAATAGTTTTATCTTTGAAATATGACAAGAGATATTATTTTAAGATGGATATTTATGTGAAGGCGAAGGAGTTCTGAACTAACAAGGATAAAAATTTGATATAAAAAATGATGATTGGTTCAATAATAAATTAATAAAAGGTTACATTTCATTCATCAAAGTATATTGAAACTGTATGGATTTTGAATAATGATTGGTCTCGTGACCAATTTACTAAATTTTACTTTTTTACATTTTTTGATTATCAAAAAATTTGTTCAACCTTATGTCGGTGAAAAATCACAAAAATTAGAAAGCATAGAAAATAGGTTAGACACGAGAATGATGTGATTCTACTCTCATTACTCCAGTGGAGCACCATAAATTTTTTGTGGAAAAACTTTGAGATAGTTTTGAGGGTCAAACTACATCTTGTCTCCCTTAGTAGTCAAAACAAAAATGAATCAGACCCTAATTTGGATCGAAAAAAAACATGCGATAAGTGACAAAAATAAATTGTAATAATCTATTCTTTGATACATGTTGAGAGTACAGTAAATTCCATAACCAATATATCATTCTACAAAAACTCATAGACTAAAACCTAACATATGAGACTCTTTAAACTAAAGCTAACTAGAATTAAAATATGAAGTAACTTAGTGCTAAAATAATGAGAATGAAAATTTCATTATTCATCTCCTTCTTGTATAAACATGAAGTGATACGTACACATTCTGCGAAAATCTAATGTTTTCATAAACTGATCAAATCTGGCATTCCATTGCCTATGACCTTATTCCATTTCATATAATGATCTAAGCAATCTATAAACTAACTTCTTTTGATTTTATTGTTCAAAGTCAACTAGTTGTTCCATGTAGGCTTTTTTCTCTCGAGATCCATAAACAAATGGAGTAACTACATTCATCTAATTCATAAAATGTTGCAGCAAATGCACATATTAGTCAAATTGTAGCATCCTTTGCTATAGCTAAGGATATATCCCTTGTAAAAAACCTGTAGCCATCAAAGAGGCTTTGAATATTACTTTGTTATTAATTGGTGAATAATCATTCAGCTTGTATATTCACTTGCAATCAATCAAAGCTTGAGTTTTTTGAAGCTCCACTAGCTACGAAGTCCCATTATCTATTAGGGACTGCATCTCAGGCTTAATAGCACTAATACATTCAAGCTTATTAACATAGATTTGATTTTTTTTTTATAATCATCATCAAAATCATCATCATTCTTTGTATCAATATAACGATCTACAAAATCGTATGAATTAGCTTTTAATGTATACCTTGCAAGATTATAAAAATCTGATTTGATAATCTTCTAGTAGACAATTGTGGTTTTTGTTGTGGAACTTAAACCGTGACGAGATGACAAAAAATCCTAATCTCTTTGCAATATATTCAAAGCTTCTTAGATATATATTTTTTATCATTATCTATAAGTGGATATCTCATCTTTTGTTCATCTTGTTTAATCTGAATTTCAACTTGAGCTTTTCAACGTTTGAAAGTTGTAAAAATCTCAAACTTGTATGTGAGAAACTAAACCCACACAAACCTTGAAAATTCATCAATAAATGATACATAGTAAAACTTATTAGGAAGTGAAACTTTTACAAATGATCTCCACATGTCATCATATATAGAATCCAAAAACTCTTTGAAAATGTGAAATTTAACACCAAAAGCTTGACATTGATGCTTGTCAATAAAAAAATATTTTCAAAACTCTAAGTAAACTTTACTTATGACATGTAACAAATTTGTATTGTCTAGGAGGTACAAGTATCTATTAGTCATATGTGCTAGTCTAGAATGTCGTAAATGAAACATCTTAGCTCAATATTTGATAAAGTTGATTTTTCATAGATAATAGTGTTTCCTAGGAGTTATAGATTGTTCTATTTATGACCTCTTTACATAATCTTATCACGTATTTTCATCTCAAGTCTTTTGAGGTGAGAGTACGTGAGTACTTTTTTTGAGTCTTGGATTCCAAATTGTATTTTTTTTCAAAAATCAAATACAAATTTAACTTTAATCAATGTAGATTACACTTTATCAAAAATATAATTCATAACAATTAGTCAATATTTATTAATACTAATAGAAAAATTAACAAAATTATTTTTTGCTATATGTTATCAATCAGCAGCGCTTTTACAATTTCATTGTAATTGATTGTTTACTATCACGTTAAAACAAGACACATGATAATACTGATAGAAGGTTGGAAATGAAATATAGATCTAGAGAGATTTTCTTTTCAAGAATTTAAGCTATTCACTTTCCAAAATTTTGAAGATCAATGACAAGATAACCAAAATCATCGATATGATCTTGAATCTTCACGCCAAAAACTTTCATCTTAAAAATCATCAGCTTCAAAAAAAATTGTTTGAGAATTTTTTGCAATGCAACGATTGCTCAAAAACTTCAATTTTTACAGCAAAATTTTTGTAGTCATCCACTTGCTTCAAAAGCAAAAGTTGTAAATACATATGACAACACTCACTTCATACTTTTAGAGTTCTCTCTAGTAGTTTAAGTTTTAGGTGGACAGGTTTGGTATGAGCAAGGTGCTTTGATTAATGCATTGTGTTGTCTATACATAGCAAGTAGTCAACATCTTTGTCATATAAGACTATGTCATAAACTATTACCCCATATTTATTGGGTGTCATATGGTTTTGCTGAAATATTGAACTTGTAGCTTGTGTTGTTTGAGTGAAAATTTATTCCTTTTCACTTATCTATCTCCCTATACTTAATTCAAGAGTCTTCCGCCTTGCTAAACCCAAAAGATGATTTTTTTGCATCTTTAATCAATTTCACTATCAAAATCAATATAAAGCAAAGAATAATTTTAAAATAAAAAATGATAAG